TTTCTGTAGCCTGCTCCTCCGGACTGTCACCAGGCTGCCACCCTCTAAATAACCACATTTTGAGCGATGTGAGGAGTGATGAAAGGAGAAAGAAAATAAGTAAGATGTCATCCTTAATGCCAAGCAGTGACGGGAGCTTTTGGTCTGGTGGAGCCGTCTCTGTCTGCCTGTGTCTGCAACATTAGCCGCGTATGGCTGGGAGCGACAGTGTCAGGGTGAGTTTAGACGCGCTGACATCGGATCCAGTGGAGGCCTGTGGACGGGGTGAGCGTGAAGACAGTGACGGGGGAAATGCTGAGAAGGACACGCTGAAAGGAGAGAGGAGAAGGCTCTGACAGTCTGAGCCGCTGTTGTCTCCTGTGATGGGCCACCGCCAAGTCCGACAAGAATACATCTTATTTCAACAGAGCGTGTAACCAAAGCGCGCATAGTTTCAGCACATTCATTATTACTGAGCACCGCGCTGTCAGTCACTTAGCTGGCCATTCATCTGGGTTGGACATGATTTCTTTTTAACAGTGTCTCATTCATATTATTTGTCTGTCTATAATAGCCTAGATTCACCTTCAAAATCATTTTGTTTTGCATTTGCAGCAACTTAGCTACTACTACCTAGATGGGTTTGTATGTATCTGGTTTGGACATGATTTCTTTGTAGCAACGACTCATTCATAATATTTATTCTGTCTAGTACAGTTTATTTGCCATTTGCAGTAAAACCACATTGGAAAAACTGTGCAAGACTACCCCAGTATCATGTGCACCAGGCAGAGCAGATAGTATTCATTATGTTTTTCGGGCTAATACAGCCTAGATTCACATTCAAAATCAGTTTATTTGCCATTAGCATTTGCAGTAACTAGCTACTACTACCTAGATGGCTTTATTCTTACATATTCATCTGGTTTGGACATGATTTCTTAATGTCCAATAATCTAATATTTTTTCTGCCTACTACAGCCTAGATTCAGATTCAGTTTATTTGCCATTAGCAGTAAAACCACATTGGAAAAACTGTGCAAGACTACCCCAGTATACACCAGACAGAGCAGATTGTACACACCAGAGCCTAATCCATTGTGACTGTTTTCTTAGGCTGATAAATCTTGGATCCACAGTAGAATAGTATGATATTATGACAATTTAAACATCTGGACTATAAACTGCTACTTTTTGCACATTTTTAACACTTCAGCCTGTATAGAATTGTGACCAATGTATGTGTTTTCATTTTTTTGCCCCATCTATGATGCAGTAACAGATTTGAGCAATGAACTCAATAATGTAGCACACATTCCTGCTTCAGTGTGTTTATGTGAACAGCAGCAAGAGTGCATAGAGTTTATCAGGGCAAAGTATATGGAGAGTTTATGGACACGGTTATTATCAAATATAGCCACAGATTACTTCACAATCTCTGCTATAAGCCCCGCCCACTCTGGATTCGTTTGCCCAGGAGATCGTCCCCACAACATTCTTGTGTGCAACCCACTCAGCCACTAATGGAGAAAATACTACCATCAGCCATGTTCATATTGATTAAATTCAAAATGTATGTATTACCTGTTATCTGTAGCAAAAACATTTAACTATTGTCTATAATCATACTGTATCTGTGTGATAATTGTATTGCTGTGTTTTGTGCGCTTCAATCCTACTGTGTCTTGCGCTTGTGTCTATTTTTTTCCCCGTTGTGTGTCTATAGAGAGCCCTACATTTAATCACCAGCACTCTGAACTCCCTCTGTCAGTGAAGGCTCATTTGATGTGGCAGCCCTGGGCTCTCCCTTCCACATTCTCAGCCAAAAACAATAACTCCTTGCTCTGTATTTTGTAATTTCACTATATTTCAATGTCAAGAGCGGGCCCTTTGAACACTTTTATTAGATATTGCTGCTGGGTCCATTTTTGTATTTTACAGCTTTTCCTTTTTATATGACTGTGGCTGTTGTTTTGTATCTTTCCTTGTCGCAAAATTAGTCACGGGTCGAAGATACTGTGACAATGTGTTATGATAGTTGTTTGTGGTAAATTACATAACACACTTGTATTCTACTTTTAGCCCAGCTGCTTTTAGACGCTAAATGTAGCTCGTTGAACTTTAGTGTGTGTTTGAGATTGCATTGTTGTATTGTTTGTTTGGCCTCCACTTCATATCGCTCATGCTATTGTTTGACATTTCCTGTGTTTTTTTATTTTTATTTTTGTATGTGTTTTTTTGGGTCCTTGTGTTTTGTTGTGTCCTTGGGCAAGACACTTAACCCCACTTTGCCTGAAGCCCCCACTGAAAGATCTCAGCTCCTGTGGACTCACCACCTGCAGGAGGATCAGTGAGGGGCTGGTGCTAAGTGGACTGGGTGTAGCTCTGACTGCCACCCCCCCCCCAACCCAGAAATGGATTAAGGGGAAGAAAATGGATGGATGGATGGATGGATGGATGGTATGTGTTTTTTTATGCCCTCTGCTGCTTGAATGAATTGCCCGTGATGGGATAAATAAAGTAGTCTGAGTGAGAATCTGCATCTAAAAAACACATAATTGTAATAATAATTTGGCTGTAGGTGCAGCAGCTGTTGTTTTAAATGTACAATACAACAAAACAGACAATAAAAATACAATTAAAAAATGAGTAGGCAGAAGTATTTCCTGCCTCTTTTCACATTTGTAGACATTGGTCATCTGCCCCTTAAGGACTTTTATTTTGTTTTTTATCATTGCATTTCCTTTGTTGGATTTTTTAAAAAGATTTTATGATTTTTGTGAATATTTAATAGCAAACATTTATGACAAATAATTTTTAAAAAAATGGTCTCGTGTGTGCAGCAAGACTAGGCATACACTCAAACTGTTTTGAAATCAAGAAGTCAAAGGCTCAAGGGGCTAAAAAGATTTCATTTAATTTTTATCTCTTTATTCATCCATTTCTGGGTGAGGGGGGTGGCAATCAGAGCTGCCACCCAATTCACAAAGCACCAGTCCACAGGCTGCTCCTTCAATGAAGACATGACCTTGGTCTTTCAGCGGGGGCTTCAGGCAAAGTGGGGTTAAGTGTCTTGCCCAGGGACACAATAACATCAGACTTCAGTTGGAGCAGATGACATGGACCATGGTGGGATCGAGCCCACACCATTAGGTTCAAAGACCAATGCTCTACCAACTGAGCTACAGTTACCCCTGCTAGAGAGATTTGTGAATATTTAATAGCAAATAAAACATCACAAATCATGAAAAAGGTATTAGGAAATATGCGTTGGCTCATGTGTGCAGGAAGACTCGGCATACACTCCAAAAGTCAAAAGGTTAAGGGGATAAATAGATTTTAAAAATGTGTCAAATATGTTGATTTTAAAACTAACTCTACTGCAGTTTTTAGTCTGTTTGATTCTCTGATCTGTTGTTGAGATCACTACTGTTGTGATTTAAGGCTATATAAAAATACACTGAATTTAAAAGAATTTAAGATTAAGAGATTCTTTATTCGTCCCACCCTGGGGAAATGTCAGTGTTGAATCAGAATGTTACAGAACAGAATGAGGAGCACACAGCACAAGACAAACGAACAATAACTCTATAATAAATAAACTTTCTTTCCACTGTACGTGTCATAGATCCTAATGTATCATGATATCTTTGCATTGCTTTTGCTTGCGTTTACAAATCTCAAATATCTATCTTGTGCAGTGTCGTGAAAGCATAGAAAAGCCTGTTGTGCTGCAAATGGAGAGCAAGTGGATTCAAACAATACTTCACTTTTCCTATGTGTGTGAGTTCACAGAAGTTAATGCGTTTGGCAGTAGCAGATGCTGTTCTCCTCTGAGCTGTGTGAAAGAATGTCACCCTAGTCTAATCAAATTATGGCTGTTATAGCACACGTCAAAGCTTCACTTTGGATTTAGCCATGCTCGCCTGACGCTTTGTGCACTTTTTGTTGTGATAAAGCACAGATAAGGCTGTGCGGGACAGTGTGCATCGTATGGTTAGGATCAGGGTGGAGAGGGAGGCCCAGGGTGTGTCTGTGTGTGTCTCTGTGTGTGCCTGTGTGTGCGTGAGTGTGTGTCTCTGTGCGTGTGTGTGTGTGTGTGCACGCTCAGAAGCTCTTGTGACCTCTTAATATCACATCACATGTCTGATCTTATTCTTGTCTGCCATCCGAACTCCTGTCATGTGCTCTTTTGGCCAATCTGTCACACTTAATCTCAGCGGAAAGGAATACTTAAAAGTGCCCCAGGAACGCTTGGGGTTGAGAGAAAAAAGTGAACATAGAAACAAAGAAGAAGGAGGAGGAGAAAATCACAGCGGCGTAGCGTTTCAAGGCCTTGAATGGCATCAATGATTCGCTGAAGGGGATAAATGGTTGAGAGAAAGATGAGAGAACAATATGTGTGTTGTTCTTTAATCTCAACTAAATCATCTGTCTCTGCTGCGTGTCAGGTGTTGAGCCCGGCTCTCATCACACTCTGCTTCAAAAGGACTGATACAGGCCTCTCCTCGTGGTTTATATGGCCTGTGTTTATCTCCTCTTACTCCGGACAAGATAACCACCTTTCAAAGTGCCTGCAAAGTAAATATTTTGGAGAAATGTACCCTGAGTCGGGGGCAAAGGCTTTATCAGTTGTAACTTTACAAGTTGACAACTTTACATTGAATTATACTGAAAAGATAATCATGGGAAAATATGATTTCCTGTGATTAGATTTTACAAAACAGACACAGTCTGTGTTTTCTGACTCCATCAACTTGGGGGAAAAACATTTTCATCGGGTTGAACAAATGATTTTTAGCTTTCAAATAAAATGTGTCTGGTTTAGCTTTACGTCTTTGGAAAATGATGAGAGCTGTCAAAGTGTTTTCAGACTGAAGTTGTTTCAAACATCACTTTGCTAACACAAACCATTCTTTGGCTGTTTCTCTGTTCCAGATGGGACAGCTGCAGAGTGCAGCTAAGCACCGCTGCACTTCTCTTTGGGTGAAGAGTTCATTTCCAAAGAGCTATAAATCCACATGGAGACGCAGCTGCTCCTGAAGACACTGACAACTCTTTACTATCAGGTAATAGCCAACGCAACAGAAAGTGGCCCATCTTTCAGAGCATATCTGAGAAAATCTCAGTAAAAGTCCATTAAATACATGCTACATTGTCTCCATGATTCACACACTGCTCCTCTATTCAGAATCCAATTAAATGTTTTATGAGACGAGCTGCAGTTATGGACTTCCACAAGCAGAGCACAATGGGCCGATTGCTAACAGCAGTCGACATTAATCTGCCAAATTAAAAGGATCCTACTGTTGACCCAAAGCAGAGCTTTGTGTGTTGAGGTCTTCTGTATTCATCAGATGTTTCTCTTATTCAATGTCCTTCCACATGTGGCACATGTGTGTATTTTCATATACAGGTCATTTCCCATGAGACAATATACATTTTCCCATTGATGGTTCTTCCATAGTAAATGGTTCTGTCAGGAAAATTTGAACACTTTTTCTGCTGTGAATCTTAAAGTGTTACTTGCACCAGGTGACAGTAAACAGGTGGGTTTGACGTGTGTTCATCCATCACACTTGTCCTTTGTGGGCATACAGGCCTCCTATTGCTAAAGCACACTTAACAGATCTTCATCAAAGAGAAAACTGAGGAGCAGCGATGCAAGACCGAGTGGGACAGGTTCAAAGACTGATCTCCCCATTGCTTTAAACACAGCAACATCCCAGTGGTAACGGCCAACATGCCCACCGCCAATCACTGCAGAGTCTGCTGGAGCCCAGGGTCAGTGGGACAAAGGCCAGACCAGGACTACATCATCCTAAACTTTTACATACACAACACAACTTTATTGGTAATACATTTTAACTTTCTAACATGTTTGCACACTTTTCACAACCTGAGTGATTCTATTTATGACAAATCTGACATTCTCCATTGTGAGATCAATAAAGTTTATCTTATCTTATCTTCATTGTCAGGAATTATTCACGCCTGCAAGAACTGAGCTGTAAAAGTGCTCATATTGGGGCCATTGTTACTGATGTTATTTACTTAACGTCTTTATCTAGAACTACTTTCATTTGTCTTTGGAAAGGCGAGGCAAGTCAATGGTAGAGCAAAGTTCATACACAAGGCAAAGAAGATTAGACAAATTCAAATCATAAATAACCGTAACAGTACATTACAAAGACTGAAATACAATCCTGCGGTTGCATGTGCTGCGAAACAGAACCGTTTTTAACCAGGATTTGAAAACTGTCAGAGAAGAAGCCTGTCTCACATTTTCAGGAAGACTGTTCCAGATTGCAGCTGCGTGATTCTCAGAAAACGCTGCCTGCCCTGCATGTTTGGACCTGACTCCGGGCACCAGCAGGAGGCCAGTCCCTGTGCTCCTCAGAGTCCGAGTTGGTTCAAATGGCGAAACTTATGTCATGATCGAGAACTACTTTGAAATCCCTTTAACATTCACTCTGTGGATATTTTACACTTTTTTAGCAATTTTGGTTAAACCTAAGCTTGTCTAATGCCACTATTTTCCACTTGAATGTTTTGGTTTTCTGAAGCTACTGGCACCGTGGCAGCTGCTTAACGGAGAGCCAACGATTCATCCATGCTTTGAAAATCCATGCATTCTGAAAATCTTTGGTCTTGTCATTTTAACATCAATAAAACATGTGTTTTGTCTGTGACACAACCCCAGACTCCCGTGTCATTTTCTTCAATTCTTTGAAGAAAGCAATGTATTTTTTTCTTTTTTGGATTTTCTAAGCTGTAGGAGTACTAATTAACCCTTTAAGCGCCAAAGTCGCAATATTGCGACAAGCAACATTGCTCACTTAAACAGGCTGTATCTAAAAATGTGGTGCAGAATCTTGTTAATACTTTTCACCAGGGGTTAGTGGACATGTGTGCCTGTAATATGAGCAGCATTTGTGGGTGTGGTTATATTGAAAGTTTTTGAGTAAATTGAGTTCGTAAAACACCTGCGGCGCTGCAGCGCGGAGGCGAAGCAGCAGCGGTAGAGCTGAGAGGAGCGAGAGCAGAGCTGAGGGAGAGAGTGTTTTTATTTACTCACGAGGTCTTCAGTACCAGAGAAGTACTTGGTCTGGTACTGGCTCACTCAGATTCAGAGGAGGAAGACACACAGGTGTCCAGTGAAGCAGACTCGGGCATTATTGGTGACGGGGAGACAGCGCTCCATAGTCCACAATCGGCCCCTGTGCAGCGGCTGCTTGTCCTCCGTGTGGCCGCGGTAGAAGCATTCTGTGAACGCCAAGCAGGATCCGTGGTGGAGGGGACAGGGGCATCATAACACCGGGCATGTGGGAGAAAGTAGTGGGGGTAGACATCCACGGGGAACACGGGAGAGCCGCGGGAGAAGTCGCGGGAGAGCCGCGGGAAAAAACACATCGCTAATCGCGTTCACTGCCTTTACCAGCAGCAATGATGAGGATGAAGACAGACCTTGAGAGAAAATAATCCACAAAAGTGGATCAGAAGTGTTGAAGAGCCTGTTGTATGTTGTTGAGACGATCTGACAAGTTCTGAGCCCATTCATTTCATCTCTCTGTTTCTAAATGGTAAATCCTGGAGCCTCATTTCCACTGAGAAAAATAGTAAGCCCACTACTTCTCTGAAAGGGAAATATTGAAACCAATCTCAAGATTTCATGACTGTAAACTATAAAGAGTGCTGTCTTGATCTCTGAAGGTCTTTGAAAATAATACAATTCCATATGGCTGCGAACCAGTGCTAAAACATTATCTATAATCTGGATCAGGGAATTTATTTCTATCCCAAATTCATTTCATACTAAAGATATTTCACATTGACTGTTTATAGTATTCCCTGATCTCAAATAACTCCCAAGCTACAGCTTTTTGAAGTCTTTATACAATAATTAACATTTTCCAAAATGGCCGCCACCTTGATGACGTCACAATATGCAAATTAGATGACGAATCAACTTCCATCCCAAAGTTTGGTTCAAACTGAAGATATTTCTAATTTACAGTATGCCTTTATCTCAAACCATTTTAAAGTTATAGCCTTTTGAAATCTTGAAATCAAAATTGTATATTTTCTTGAAAAAACTCTGGCGCCTAAAGGGTTAACTCCTTCTTTTTTATTATAGGCCTTTTCCAAATGGTTGAGATGCAGTTTGATGGTAAAAGTGCCTAAAACCAAGTGAGATGCCCCAAAGAAGTTTCCGTTCCATATTTCCTGTCCAAGCTTCAAATAGATAGTGACTTAAAGGTGATCTACCAAATTGTTGAGGAAACCATTAAAGGGTTTGTGTCTTTGTTGTACTCACTTTATTCAAGCTTGCGACCCACTTCAAAGCTCAAATAGGCGATTGTGACGAGACGAGTATTGGATTCTCTGACAGACAGTTTAACCCGAAAGGCTCCCATTTGCTTCTCGACACCGGTGCAAGGAAATGTATGGGGCCATGGGTGTTCAGCCTGAGTCTACTCACACATCAGCGTCTCTGCTCAAATCCTCCCTGTCAGAGCTGGTGACAGTGATGGACAGAGAAAAGGAAGGAGAGAGCGGCCTTCAGTGCTAAGTGGCAGGGAGAAGGGAAAATGGCTGTGAAAAGACAACACACATGCAGGAACAGGGGAAAACAAACATGTAAAACACCTGCAGCTTTCTCTCAGCGATGGAAATGGGTCTACAGTGACTCAGCTGCAGACACTGAAGGAAAACTATCAATGAAAGTAGCACAACACATACATGAAAACAGTCCTGAGCAATATACGGTTTTTTAGTTTTTTATTTACGGTTTTTTGGTTTTTCTGTTGTCCTAACTAAGTGATATTTTCTGTTTCCATATCAAGTTTGTTTCTGGTCAATATTTTCTATATGAAATAAAAAAAATCTGAAGAATCTATTTAAGAGATTATTTTTTTCGTCCACAGTGGGGAAATTTCGGTGTTGCATCACCAGTTATAGAACATTAGAGTGAGGAACACACAGCACAAGATAAACAATAGCTATACTAATTGAAATAAAACAAAATCTCTAGCATCAAGTAACAAGTATAAAATCTCTATCTTGAATATAGTAATAACAAAGTATTCAAAATTTGACAAAATACGAGGCAAGTATAAATTACTGTGTATTCCAGTGCAAGCAATGTGTAGTTATTTGTTAGCATCTGTACATTAGCAGCAGTATGTTTACATCTGTACATTAGCAGCAGTATGTTTACATCTGTGCATTAGCAGCAGTATGTTTACATCTGTGCATTAGCAGCAGTATGTTTACATCTGTACATGTTAGCAGCAGTATGTTTACATCTGTACATGTTAGCAGCAGTATGTTTACATCTGTACATGTTAGTAACAGTATGTTTACATCTGTACTGTAGCAGCAGTATGTTTACATCTGTACATTAGCAGCAGTATGTTTAGATCTGTACATTAGCAGCAGTATGTTTACATCTGTACATGTTAGTAACAGTATGTTTACATCTGTACATGTTAGCAGCAGTATGTTTACATCTGTACATGTTAGCAACAGTATGTTTACATCTGTACATTAGCAGCAGTATGTTTACATCTGTACATGTTAGCAGCAGTATGTTTACATCTGTACATTAGCAGCAGTATGTTTACATCTGTACATGTTAGCAGCAGTATGTTTACATCTGTACATGTTAGCAGCAGTATGTTTACATCTGTACATTAGCAGCAGTATGTTTACATCTGTACATTAGCAGCAGTATGTTTACATCTGTACATTAGCAGCAGTATGTTTACATCTGTACATGTTAGTAACAGTATGTTTACATCTGTACTGTAGCAGCAGTATGTTTACATCTGTACATTAGCAGCAGTATGTTTACATCTGTACATTAGCAGCAGTATGTTTACATCTGTACATGTTAGCAGCAGAATGTTTACATCTGTACATGTTAGCAGCAGTATGTTTACATCTGTACATTAGCAGCAGTATGTTTACATCTGTACATGTTAGCAGCAGTATGTTTACATCTGTACATTAGCATTAGCCTCTGGGACACAGGGACTCAGTAAAGTGACAGTGATATGTGGTTATTGCACATTCTGATATAAGTTAAGGATATTGCACCGATGCACGACACGTGAGATCTTGTTGGCAGAGTTCATTAGTCCTCATTGTTTGTTGTACAGTCTGACAGCAGGAACAACAACAACAGGAAAGACCTGCGGAACCTCTCCTTCACACAGCGATTTATATTTCTACTTATTGACACTTCACATGTCATTATTCATTCACTCCATACACGGTGGTAATAAATTAGAACTGTAGCCACAGCTGCCCCCGACCGCCACCGACCATTCACATTCAAACCAGACTCATACTAAAGGTAAAGGTGGATTTTATTAATCCCCGTAGGGCAATTCAATCCTCTGCATTTGACCCATCCTGATGCTGCTAAGGCTTACATCAGGAGCAGGAACCCATCTCCAGATGTTGATGCTCGCCTTGGTCAGGACTGTCACTCCCGTATTCGTCCCGGAAGTTCAGTTTGCGCATGTCAAAAATTTTAATATGTCCTTAAGTGGTGACTGGTTAAGTTTAGGCGTCTGATTAACATGGTTAAGTTTAGGGTTAAGGCTGGGTTGGGGTTATTTTATGGGAATGGCTGGTTAAGTTTAGGCATGAATAGGTAGTTTTTTATATTTACTTCCGCTTCCGTCCAGATTCCGTTACGTAATCTACTGCTGCGTATGCTCATTGGATCAAACTGAACTTCCGGACGAATCCTGGAGTGACAAGGACTACCAGAGCTGGAGGATTTAACCTAGTGTGCATGTTTTAGTGGTAGTGGAAAACAGAGTACCCGGAGGAAACCTAGGCAGACACAGGGAGAACATGCAAACTCCACTCAGAAAGACCCTGTTCCGACCGGGATTCGAACCCAGGACCTTCTTGCTGAGAGGCGAAAGTGCTATCCACTTAGCCACCGTGCCAATGTGAGTGAAATGGTTTGCCTAAGGATATAGTGACAGTTTCTCAGATTGAGAAATCAACATGATGGCTCTGGAAGGTCTAGTCGTTTTCAGAATTCTGGGAATCCTGGTGTTAATGGCCATACTTGAATGCGAAAGCTAGATCCCATCAGTATTATTCGTATCATTGTGGCGTACAGTATTTGTGTTCGTCATCAGTCGCACACAGACGAACCAAAGACAAACACATTCCGTCTGCCAGGTTCCTCTCTTCACCTCGTCTGTTAGTGACAAATCCTTGATCGATGAGTCCATTTTGATAAGACTTCACAGAGACACACGACTAAGATAACGTGACATATTCATCTCCCCTCATTAGCCTTGTTTGTCATGTGCTGAGATGAAGGAGCACCCAAAACGCAGGAATTTAAAAATATTGATTTATTGATGACGACAAAATGAAAGTCCAAGGGAAAGACAAACTCAAAAATCCAAATGGGAACCAGGAAAACAGGCAAAGAAAGACACAGGCAAATGTAATGGACCAGCAACAAGAGGAGAGGAGCACAGGTACATACTGTATAGACACAGACAGACACAGGTACATATAGACACAGACAGACACAGGTATATACAGACACAGAGAGACACACAGGTACATACAGACACAGAGAGACACAGGTACAGTACATATAGACACAGAGAGACACAGGTACATAAAGACACAGACAGACACAGGTACATTTAGACACAGAGAGACACAGGTACATATAGACACAGAGAGACACAGGTACATATAGACACAGACAGACACAAGTACATATAGACAAAGACAGACATAGGTACATATAGACACAGACAGACACAGGTACATATAGACACAGACAGACACAGGTACATAGACACAGACAGACACAGGTACATATAGACACAGACAGACACAGGTACATATAGACACAGAGAGACACAGGTACATATAGACACAGACAGACATAGGTACATATAGACACAGACAGACGCAGGTACATATAGACACAGAGAGACACAGGTACATAAAGACACAGATAGACACAGAGAGACACAGGTACATATAGACACAGAGAGACACAGGTACATATAGACACAGACAGACACAGGTACATATAGACACAGACAGACACAGGTACATATAGACACAGACAGACACAGGTACATAAAGACACAGACAGACACAGGTACATATAGACTCAGAGAGACGCAGGTACATACAGACACAGAGAGACACAGGTACATATAGACACAGAGAGACACAGGTACATATAGACACAGACAGACATAGGTACATATAGACACAGACAGACACAGGTACATACAGAGAGTCACAGACAGACACAGGTACATAAAGACACAGACAGACACAGGTACATATAGAGTCTGACAGACACAGGTGAAAGACATGGGGGCGGGGCGGACAATCAACAGTGGAACAGGATAGAAAGTCAAACTATAACAAAAGTAACTGAATTGAGGATTTTCTTACCAGAGCTGAAAATATATAACTTATGTTTTTGCTAATATTATTGTGGTGTTTTGCATGATAAAATTATGGGTTGCCCCTTTTTGCATATAATTTTAAGATTTCTGTTCCTAGTTTTATTACTGTGGATTTTAATCTTGTGATTGTGTTGCTGTTTAGTCCCACTTATTGTTGGAAAATGTTCAACTTTGAAATGTTCGGATGATGATAATTAGGACTACACTAAGAGCAGTTTATATTTGTTAGACAGGTTTGTTGTGAGGGATGGATGGATAAAGCCTTTTTATTTTGGTGTGTTAACTGTTTTTTTGTTTTGTTTACAAGAAATAAAGACTTACAAAAATAATAACACAAACAAAACACAGAACTGAAGTCAAAATAAATCAAAGTACAAAAATGCTGGCTGATTGCTACTTAGATTTGACATTAAAAAAGTGCCCTTTCCTCAGGGTGGGACATGTTGGCAGCACAAAGCCTCTACAAAGCCTTAATTTATGTTTTTCCACTCTATTTTTACAACACATTCTGTATCATAAAGTAAAGTTCATTTCAACTATTATCATGGCTGATGCATGTGAAGCAAACATATTTTACTGTCAATCCTTATCTTGAGAAGTTTTATCACCGACATGACCAGGCACATTCATAATTCTTATTTATGAGTTTTTTGGAAATTCCTCCGTTTGGAAATTGCGTGGGCTGTTGTCCTAATTCAACAAAAAAAACTCCCCAGGTTAGCGCAAAAAATATTTCAGGGCCCGTCAGAGCACTCCGCACACTGTGAATAATGCCCGACATGACACAGTAATGCTTGTTCAGGTGAAAAACGGTTTCTTGAACTGGTTTCTGGGGCAGCAGCGGTAATAATACAGCATCCAGACCGAGCGTGTGAATTATGGCTCTACTTCGCATTCATGTATTCATCCCATAGAGATTTATTAGACTGCAGACATTTCAATCTAACTCCCCTAAATAGAGCACTTTGTCATCAGAAGTTAAAGGGGAGGTTTGCCGGCTGATCAACAGAATAATTCATAACCTTTTTCCAGCTCCAGGAGTGACATGTCTACACAAAGAATTAGGACAAATGAGCCTTAAGCCTTACTCAGTGTACTGTAAGTGCCACGCAACAACAACATAACAAAACACCCTTTTAACGCAATCATTCTTCATCCTCTACAGATTGCTGCGGTTTGCACTTATGCCGTACGCTATAACTCCTTCCGCGTGCTTTGTCTTGATCAAATATGGGACGTAAATTAAGTGTAGCAGCATGGGGATCATTTGTTTGAAGTGACATATCAGATAGTCAGTGATTTATGAACGCAATAATGGACATTTAATCGAGTTCTTCCGCTCGCTCCGACATCAAAGGTTGTTAATGTGTTGACAACATGCATTAGCTCTGAACCCTGACAGACAAGCGCCACAGGAATGCCCATTCTTTTGCCCACACCGAAAAATCTGTAACTGTAAAAATACAAAAGACATTCATTGACATTCAGTCCTTTTATATTTGTTTAATCTGTTTAAAGATATTTGAGTTTTTCACTGTGTGTGTAGGCAGACAAGAGTTTTTCACATTATTGCTCATTCATTTCCGTTTGTGACCACTTGCAGACAGGGACTTTCTGTGTGGGGTTTGCATGTTCTCCCTGTGTCTGCGTACATTTCGTCCACCATCTGTGAAAAAGAAACTTGAGCTACATAGAGCATGGAGAAATAGAACAATAATTTCATTGTTAGGACTCCGATCAGATTCCGATTTGATTTGAACTTTTTATATATTCAAAAATGCAACCAGTTACTGTATATTGATGGCGCCAAGACAAAGATGCAAAAAGATCAGACAGAGATTTAATTAACTTTAATCTACTGTCGCCCATGGATGGATGGATAATTACATGTTAAATTTACAATTCAAAAACAGTTCTGGTGGCTCAAAATCCCTGTTTCCACCAACCCGTACTCTATACTCGGCTCTACTCTACCTACTCTACATGCTTGGCCCTGGCTTTATCCAGACATCATTACCCTGGAATTTCCCTAGATACTGGATTGTTGTGGATTATTTTCCAGAATACAGTTCCAGATGCTAATGGTAGTAGTAGGAGTAGTCGTAGTAGTCATCATAGTCATTGTTGTATATCATAATATTAGTATTAATGTTGGTAGTAGAAGTAATGGTTGTGGTGGTACCATTATAGTAGTAGTTGTAGCAGTATTTATAGCAGTAGTAGTTCTTAGATGAATAATTTAAAAAGTTCACAACAAATTGTTTAGTTATTATCTAAATAAAGGTTGAATAAAAATAATTAAGAAAAACAGTAATGGAAACACAACCAGGTAGAGTAGACCCGAGCCGAGCCGAGCCGAGTAGACCAGGGCCAAGTAGGAGTGGTGGAAACAGGGCATACGCTTCGTATCTGCTGTAATAGTTTGGGGGTTTTACTGTAACTGGATACTAATGACTGTAGAAGCATAAATATTTGTACTAGTCAATTAGACATTTTGGTTTTCTGCCCAACCTCATTCCTATTCCAGAAATGTAGGAATGAAGGTAAATAAATAAAGTCCTCAAAGAACAGAGGGGGGTTGGGGGCGACACCAGCTCCTCTCCCTTGTGCAGTGTTGTCAAAGTAACTTATCGAGCAGGAATTAGCCCGAGCCTGACACGGCCTCTGGTCCAGTGCTCTGTAACAGCTAACTGCTTCTCCTTTGATTTTATAGACAGCTCCAGGATTAATGTGGATCCAGTATGAGAGCGATCGACTTGTGTTTCAGCCGATTCTTCATCTTTGACGTCTGTGTGAATGAGTCTAAAGGGACATCATCCGTCTCCAGCCACTGATTCTTCTAATGATACCACTACCAACACTACTATTATAAATACTACTACTGCCACTACCTCTACTACCACCATTAATACTATTATTACTATATTAACTACTATGACTGATATGACTACCACTACTACTACTTCAATTTCTCCAGTGTAAAGTCCATCTTATCTTATCTTACTACTACTACTACTACTTCTACCATAACTACCCGTATGACTGTTGTGACTGTTACTGCTACTGTACAAATACGACTACACCCAGAACCTTTTCCACCTGCTGCTGTGACCTAAAGTGCTGTCGCGTTTTATTACTATTGTCAGCTACTTTTAGAATGATGTGTTTATTGTTTTGTTTGTATATAAGGATGTGTTTCTGCTGCCACTGGACGGCTGAATTTCTCCTATGGGGGATCAATAAAGTATCTATCTATCTACTACCGCCACTGCGACTGCTGCCTCTTCTACTACTGCCACTATTACTACTAAAATTACTACTACCACTGCTTTTACGACTACTATTTCTAAAAATACTACCGTGACTTTTACGACTACAACTACTGCACTGCATCTGCGTATACCATGGTCACACCTCAAATGTTGTTTTGTCTGCAGTATGTATTTTTGCAAATAAACACAAAAGATATGTTTGTAAAATGCAGATGTTAACTCTAACATACAAACTGTGGTCTTGTGTTTCTTATTCTCAGCTGCTAATGTTTGGCTCATGTGTAGAGTGAAAGTTGAACCAGTTGCTCACATCAGAGTAATAGCTGTTGGTGTACTACATTTTATTATTTTGTAGAAATAGCCAGCAGGCAGCTCTGAATTTCTGGAATAAAATCGTGTTCAAAAAGCCAAGTGTAGGGGAGTGTGAAAAACATCTTTGATGTCAGCTGAAATTTCACTGAACAACACGGCACAATCTGATTGGAGCCTGGCATCTTCTGGCAGCCTGATCTCTTGGTATCGTTCCACCCACAGGACATGCAAAATGCATCTGTGCTGTGTGTGCTGCTGCTGCTGATTGACTGAAAAGGATTTAAATATTTCAGTGAGAATTGATCGTCCAGGTGGTCAGAATAAATACATAATCAAAGTTGAAGTTGTGGTATGAGTATTAATTGTTTTGAAATGATCTAAATGTCTTTTTCTTAATGCTTATTCATTATATACACTAAAGTTACCTATAGTTGTAGAGGTGACATAATGTAGTCCTCACAAAAACCAGAAACAACATGAAACCTGGTTATTTGCCTCAGATCTCTACTGTTGCATATATAAATTATTTTTAAATCATTTACAGTGATGGTGATGGCACATGACAAAACATCACACAATCCCTTCAGACTGGTGATTTAAATACATAAACCAATTCATTGTATAACTAGGTTTACAAAATTGTCTCATTCCACAGTCACTAACGCAATAACATTGTTAACATTCCAGATCCAGGGAATCTGTTGTTGGCACATATTTTAAGGGGTCATACTGGTACTTATTAGAATATAAAGAAGGTGTACCTCCTATTACTGTAATGCAGTGCAACGATGTAGCTCATAGTTTGAAGCTAAATTCTAGACAGAGATAGACAGATAGATAGACAGATAGATAGATAGATAGATAGATAGATAGATAGATAGATAGATAGATAGATAGATAGATAGATAGATAGATAGATAGATAGATAGATAGATAGATAGATAGATAGATAGATAGATAGATAGATAGATAGATTAACAAATGCAAATTCTTATAGTCAAAACAATAGTAAGAACGTGAACCAATTTAGCTCATTCAGATTTCTGTCTGATTTGCAGTCCTTTATTTGAAGGATCACAGGATCTCTTTAGGCATGATAAAATCTCTCATAATAATACTAAACTATTGTCTGTTCCTATGCAGTTGCCTCAGCCCTCATGGCCGCGCCTCCTGGGTGGAACGCACGCACGTCGTGGTGATGCAGTCACGCAGCGCTCGCTCGGCGGCTGCAGGTCTTTGAAGCGCGTCTGTTGTGATCACTGAGCTGCGGACGGGACTGAGGACAGCAGGGATTTGTGACGAGAGCGTGGAAACTATCAAATGCGCCTTTTTTTTGTCTTTGATCAACATCGCAGCTTTCTCACGCCGTGGAACTATTTATGATGCGTACTTTGACAGGACGTAAAAAATCTTCTGAGCAAATAGATTCGGACTAAAATCTTTATTCTCTGCCCCGTGTGACGTGGAAGGACGTGTCTATTACAGGATTATTTCTGCTTTGTCCGAGTAAATGCAGAAAGTGTGCTGTTGATTTTGTACCATCTGGACTGCCACAGGAAACAAAGAGAGCGGACTTTCTCCAATGAAAGATTTCTCCACCTTGACAACTGCAGATCGGATAAGTGAGCGGAGCGAGATTCTTGAGTCCCCTCATGGCACAAACTCTTTCCCAGGAGCTGTAGCGTTACTGTTGACCCCGGCAGATCCAGCTCGCCAAGCCAAGCGACTTCCCATTAGAGTTCTCAAAATGTTGACTGCGCACACTGGCCACTTGCTGCACCCGGAATATTTACAGCCTCTGACATCTGCGCCTGTGAGCATTGAGGTATTTGCATGTTGTATTGTCGTATATAATACCCAATAAACACCGCAATAGGCTTGTGGGATAAAAGTGTGATAATGATATGATTGTTGAAATTATACAGCCATTTATATGAACTTAATTCCTGGACCTCAAACTTGAAATGCTATGCTAAAAGGGTCATAAGGGTTATTGTATTTTATCTGATCAGAATGTGTGTGTTTTCAGCTGGATGCCAAGAAGAGTCCATTGGCCCTTCTTGCACAGACATGTTCTCAGATTGGAAAGTCCGATGCTCCATCATCTAAGCTGAGCTCCAGCAGCCAAGGCGACAAGGAGTCCAGCAGTCGCTCATCCATTTCCAGCCTGAAGTTGAGTGATCATCGGCCCCCACTGGAGGATAAGTCCGGATTCAAGCCCTATAACAAAGGCAGCGGTGAAAGTCGGAGGGACAGCAGCAATTCTTCTAATAGCCATTCAGACAAAGTGGGTTTCCGGGTTCCCAGCACTAATTCTAGTTCTAACAGTAACTCGTCTAGTCACCCTCAGTCGCCCACATCCAGAGTGAGCAGCACGCCTCCAGGACATACTCCGCAATCAACTCACAAAAGCAGCCAGTCTCCCAGTGGACAGCAGCCCCTCCTCCCCCAAAGCCACAGTGGAGATAGTGCACCTGAACAGGGCAGCCCTAGCAGCTCGAGCAACAATAGTGTGGCTAAAAAAGACAGTGAAACGAGTAGAGCCACTGTCGACAGCCCACACCATGCAAACTCCAGCCAAGTCCGTGCCAGTACCAACAGCAGCAACAGCAGCAGTGAAGCCCCCTCCAACTCTGATGGAGGCAAAGCAGAGGCTACTCCGTCAACCCTGGGCCCTGGACATATCAGACCCATCTCTCCATACAAGAGCAGCCAGACGGTTTTTCCCCTTCCTGGCTCAAACATGGGATACCACGGATCTGTTGTGGGTGCTTATACTGGCTATGGATCCCAGTTTGGACATGGTATGGACCCCAAATCTGGGCTCAGTGTGGGGAGCATGGTCGTCCCAGGCAAACACCCGAACTCCAGCCCTCTCACCGGAGCCTCCCCTCCCTCCTTTATGCAGGGCTTATGCAGGGACCCTTACTGCCTCAGCTATCCTGGGATGTCCCATCTTGGCGGGAGCAACTGCAACTCCTGCATCCATGACCCCTCATCGTCATTAAAGTCCAGTTATCCGCTAGTGTACCCCTCGCACCCTCTGCACTCCCTCCATCCCAGCTCTTTGTCAACCACATCCTCTCTGTCTCACCCCCTGTATTCCTACAGCTTTATGCTCCCAAACGACCCCCTGCCTCATGCGTGTAACTGGGTTTCTGCTGGTGGACCGTGTGACAAACGCTTTGCTACGTCAGAGGAGCTCCTGTCTCATTTGCGCACACACACGGCTATTCCTGTGGGGTTGGACAATAAACTCCTGGCTGTTTCCTCCTCTGGCCCGGCCTCCTGTCACCTGCACCTCCCACACCAGAGCAGTCCAGGCTCCATGTCTCTGAGAACACCACCCAGCCTGGGCCTGTCCCGGTACCACCCTTACAGTAAAGTCCATCTGCCCCCTGGACCTCCTTCACTGTCGCTGCACTCACTGCCCACCACTGGCCCGTACTATCCTCCCTATGCTCTTTATGGACAGAGACTTGGATCTGCCTCCTCCCTGGGATACCCGTGATGCTCTAATGGTCGTTGATTCAACAAAAACAGAAGCTTTCAAGCATTTGCTTTATTTCTAAGGTCAAATCCAACACATAAGTCGTCCATTCTCAGCACATTTCTCAGTACAGAGTGGTATAATTGGTAATGCGCTGTCACTCCACTCATGCATGTACCTGCAGTATTATTGGCCTGGATTCAATCGCTAAATTTAAGCTCTTTTCTACAGGAATACTGTATTTATTTTACAAGCATACACACATTTTATTACCCATGTTTACTCTGATCTGAATGTCCTATCATCAGTAGGGCAATACTACGTAGATGTTTTGCTTTTTTTTACACCCCTAAGTTCTAAACTAATGGAACGGGGAAGGGGCATATTTTGTTTAATAAATTTCTTTGAATTTGCAATGTTTCTTTTGTTGTTCTTTAAACTTTTATGGATGACGTTCAGTTGAATCAATTTTAAAAGTTATGATTTAATTCAATGTATTCTTGTATAGCCCAAAATCACAACAGTAGTTATCACACCTTACACAACCGTTGAATTCGCCAAGACAATCATTCGTTTTTAAAAGGTATTATTTAGATGTGTGCACCTTTTAAATAAGTCCTCATGTTTCCTCTGGCCTTGATGTTGATTTTAAAGTAAACCGTGTCAACTTTAAGTTTCTTTGCACTTTTTAAAAACTGCCTCCTGACGGATTGTGTGGCTGTGGTTGTGAAGAAATGTCAGACCTGTCACGTTGTAATTCACATTCACCAAAGAGCTGTGTGTGTGTGTTCAAGATGGCTCCCTGACAGTCACGTTACCCAGACGACAGTGTGATTGACAGCGGTAATATGTCGTTTCCGAGCAACATGACTCTCTGTGCCACTCTCTGCAAAGTACAGATGACCCACACTGGTCACTCATGTGTCCCACACCAGGACCTCAGAGGCTTAGCACTGGAACTGGAGACACAGGTTTATTCTGTTCTTTCCTGGTTAAATAAATGACCTTAAATAATACATAATTCTTTAAATGCTGCCACCCAAACACTTAGCCCTAATACTCATGAGATACGATCGTTTGGAAAAAAAGTCTCACACATTCTTACTGCCAGAGTTCATGGTGTTCTCTTCAACACAGATGTCGTAGTTATGTGAAAATGTGTGCTTTAGACACACCAAAACTATATATACAAAATCTTGTTTTACATGTTTTTTTAAAGTACAGCAAAGTAGTAGTAGTTAGTTCAATTCAACTTTATTGCAGACTCTAGGTCCAATTTAAAACATGCAGGCAGACAAGACACAAAATAACAAACAATAAGACATCAGTACCTTTTTATACATAAAATACTTTAAAAATAAGTAAATTATTACCTTTTTATATGTAATAACTTATGTATTAAGTATTGGTTGCAGCCTTTTACTAAACTTGTTTGCAAATAATGCCATTGTATGTAATCAAACTACAGTATAACCAATGTCATTCATATATAGACAGAAAACAGTGTTACTGGTTTTACAAATAATTTAAATGTAGTATTCTGCTCCTCTGTAAATACATTTATCTTATTTGATCAACTTTGATTTGACTCATTTGTGTTTGATTCTCTCATGTACATGTGCATTAGTCTCGTGCCTTGATGTTGGCTTGCATGTGTGTCAGGCCATTTCCAGAGAAACTGCACCGGTCTCCCCTTCCAACTTTATCACTTCATCGATCATCTGACCATGAGAGCTTTACAAGTGGTCCAAAAATAAAGCGGACACAGATGTCGGCTCTGCTCTATACCCTTGTTTCATAGACCGTCTCTTAAATCCACCCACAGAAGGAGGAATGATGGAAATACAGTTTTGTCACTTACTCCACAAAACCCTGTCAAGCCACAACACACGATAATGATATACGACTGCGCTCAAACTACCCATGTCTAACAATAAATCACAGAAGTATTTTTATATCTATAAGCAGAGCAGTGGCCCTTGAGCCTGTGTGCTTATGGGGGGAGTTCAACAATGTACAAGCGGGGCAAATGCAATTATGGTTTTTGTACAAATGTGCATTACCCCAGCTGCTTTTGATTTGCTCATGCTTTAAGGGCTGCTAGCTCACTTGTCAGCTCTCATGCATCACAGACCTGGTGCTGGGTGGAAAAACGTGCTTTGGCAGGGAGCAGAGGAGAGTCCAGAGCCCAGTGGGTGTTAGTGGGTTTTAAGCCACACTCTGAGATGACACCATGCCTTCCGCAGCTGTATCCTCAGCCGCAACAATCCTCTTTTCAGTACGTTTTTCGAGGGTCTACTGTATATACATGCCATGCTAAAGACTTGGAAGGCAAGTCAAATGCAAGCACATGTCGAGTAAGAATAAAAAAAGGGCTGTGTGCCAGGGAAAGAAGCAGACATGATTACTGAAATAGAGTCATTAAGAAGGAAATTTTGTTTTTCAGCCTGTCAGGATGATTAATGAGAGAGCAAAACTCTACTCAAAAGCTGTTGTTTAGTCTTTGCAGCAGACCTGATCTCTGCCACTGACTCAGAACAGACAGGAAGTGTGTGTGTTTTACTTGGGGTTTTGCATTTGAGGGAAAAAAGCTAAAAAGACATCTGGTAAATGAAAGCGTAGAATGGTATGGAAAATGCATATAAATCAAAGTGGTAAAAATAGAAGCTTCATTTAGGCTAGTTTTGATCATTAGTTTGGTTTTGCGAAATATGGACTAAACAAGATCGACTTTTATGACTGTCAACACTGTCAACAAAATTAGTAGACATTGTAAAAACTTCAAGCTCTGCCAAAATATTCAGGAAGTCCAGATGTTCTCCGAAAAGGGCTGATGAGAGATTGGCTTTCAACATATGTGTAGCGTCTGAGGCGGTTGATTTACTTGCTGTGAATGCTGAAACACTGTTCCCCTGTCTTTAAAGCCTCACTGGCTTTTATCATTATGCAAGCAGCTGCAGGTCGGCCTGACGTCACCTCCTACGGATGTGACTGACAAGAGATGACAGTGATGCTTTCATATTTGGAAACAAAATAAGGAAAAAAATGTCCACCTCACCACATATCGAACAATACTAAAACACTTCATGATTAATACAAAAACACTTCATGATTAATACAACTGTTAGTACACGAGACCACTGATAATAAAAATAGGTGATCATTAAACTTTATTCACTGTGTTCTTGTGTCCGCGTGTGCGTCTAAAAGTATGTTATTCTCATTTGTGTTGAAGAAGCTAATATGAGAGATGTGAAGGGTTGGAGTAGTTATGGCCAGGTCATGAGGAGGAGAGTCTGTCAGCGGACATGACTGACAGAAAGTGTGAGGGAGTGGGACAGATGAAGCCACAGGCGCTGGGAGTGGGAGCGATCAGGGTCAGCACATTGGCTGTGCTCTGAGTGTGGCCCAGCAGCTGTATGCAGAGGGAGCCCTGGCCTCATGCTCAGCATGTCACAAGCCATGATTAATGACCTGCTCGACCTGCTCTTTAGCCCCCACCATCCCACACAAGTCATTCTGCACTGCTCATCTACCTAATGGGCACGCACAAGAATAGTACATTCACACAAATATGCAGCCACCTCTGACATGAAAGGAATAGCCTGAATAACAAAGATGACTTGGACCCATTGTAGTTTCAGGACAACAGAGATGATTTTGTAGATGGCTGTGTGCACTTGTACTGTGGTGTGTTGTGTGGAAGCAGAAAGGGCCCGTGCCTGTACTGGTTCCCAGCTTGTCAGGCAGCTGTCGAGGAGTGATTTATGACCACTAGACTCCAACCTGTCTTCACTGCCAGTTCAGTATTGTTACAACTGACAGCTAATGAGGCCAGACATGCTTTCAAGCAGAGCACTTAACAGAACTTCAATCTTCCCGTCACGAGCACTATTTTTGCTCTGTCCCCCCTTCCTTTCCCCATACATGCACAAACGCCATTTCTCAAAGCCTTTCCTCTTCTCCGTCTCATGCACTAGAATATTGGCTACATACTGTACAAGGCGTGCGGACTGAGAATGATTTCATCCCTAATGTATTGTATCTGAAGCGGATGAACGAATGTGTTAAAAACAGATTTGAAAGCATCAAGCAGGAATGGGCTTTTGGAGAATGGAACAGTCCACAAAGGCACAGAGGAAAGTTCTGCACTTCTGGTTTCTCCCTGTTCTTTGTCACCATCTGTGACATGTTCCAGACTTGTGCTGCTGCTCTGCCTTTGTTGACTTTTCATACAACAGTGTCTCCTGCTGGATTAAATACAGCACATACAGCAACAGACTTTTATTATTGTAAATGATGATTGAGCAGAACATGCAATAACATTGGAAACCTTTGAAGACTTTTAAATCATTTGATAATGAAACACAAATAAAAAAATAAAAAAACAAGGCTGCAAAAAACAAGGTTGCCACTTTAGATAAAACACTTAATTGTACATAATTAAGTTATGTACAAGAAAATCAAGACATTCATATATGAATAGTTAATTTTCCATTAGAACAATTATTTTATAGACTTGAAATTTGTCCTTTACCCCTTTGCAACTATTTTTGTGCAATACAAATAAAGTGTCACCTCTTCTTGAGAAAATTATTTCAAATGTACTGCTCATAACAAAGATGTCAAAGATTGTAGCCAGAGGAAAACAACTTTTTGACATATTTTCAAAAGGAGAAATTTGTTTTTGCAAATGCACTGTTCATTAATACTTTAACTATTAAACGCATTGTTTTCAATTATCAAAAATAAATGACTTTTGGTTACAAAAAAAAGGTTGAGTTTAGTTACAACTAACTTTACCTGCATAAGAAAGTCATACCTCACCAGACCTCTGAAGCTAAGCAGGTTCAAGCCTGGTTAGAACTATGATGGGGGACCTTTGGGAATGCTGGGTGCCACAGTGGGACAGCTGAGACTAAAGTGCCAAACTTGTGTAGTGTCCTTCGGCAAGACACTTCACTCACAAACATCTAGTATGGGTCTGGTGTGTGCCTCTGAATGTTGGAGGTCATGGGGTTGATGGCACAGATTAGTTCCCTTTGGTTCGTTAGTCTGCCCCATGGCAGCTGTAACTACAGCAGAAATTTACCACCAGCAGTTTGTGGAGTGAATGAATAATGTCATGTCGAGTGTCGACAATAATAAAACCGATGTATTATCATCATCCCCTGCAAAATCAACCTGATAAACCTCTAGACCAAAATAGTTTGGTCAACTTTGTCAATTATCTTGGCAGGTTAGGAAATATTTCTATATCATCGTATACAGTCCATGACTCGTATGCAAAGGTTTAGAATAAATCAACAATAAAATAATTTAGCTAATTAGATAAATCAATGTTGTGATTTTAGTTTGTTTGTCTGTTGAATTCAAGAAATACATTCTTTGGGCCAAGCCCTCCTCTAATAATAATAATAATATAATAATTAAGAATACTTAAGAATATAATACTACTACAAGAATAATATTGATAATAATAATAGTTTTAAAAATCCAATTATGATAATAATCATTATTGTGGTGATGATGATGATGATGATAATTGTAGGTTATTCTTATTATTCATTCATTCATTCATTTTCTACCCTTTAATCCATTTCTGGGTCAGGGGGGTGGCAGTCAGAGATGCCACCTAAGTCTCATAGCACCAGCCCCTCACTGATCCTCTGCAGATGGTGAGTCCACAGGAGGGTGGCTGCTCTCTGAGTGTGAGCATAGCCTTGATCTTTCAGTGGGGGCTTAAAATAATAATAATAATTATTATTATTTATTATTATTATCATTATTATACTTAAGAATCTGAAATTAACTGCCAAGCCCTAACTAACTCAAACCCTTATAGAAATGTGACTCTGCTGCCCCCTCCTGGATGTCAGCAGCACGTACAACGAGCTGGTCTCTAAGTTCCCAAATCATTGATGTAGAAGTTTCTCAGATCCCGTTAAATGTCCTGTTCTTGTCTATAGTTCCCCTGGCTGTGGCCAGAGTATATCTGAATCCTCCATATTACCTTTACGCACGGGCCTCATTGTGCTTTGACAAAGTCTTTCTGACATTGTCTCAGTAAATTCCAGATTGTTTCTGTCTGCTTCCCTGTTCCTCAGCTCTTCCCTGTGGTCCTCCCCTTTCCCGGCTCCTCCTCTGCTTCCTCGCTCATCTGTGGACAACTTTTCCCGAAGTCTTCCTCAAACTTCTCATTATCTGTGTGGGACAACAGCCCCAGTGACGCACGGAGGACGCGGCGAGTACAATGTGAACTATGGTCGTAATGAGCGACCAACCGGACCGCTCTGTGGCCCCGACACTGGCCCCGGAGCCGCTTCCCAAAGACTCCCGAGGGATCCGGGGGCCCACGTACGTGCTACTCCGCTACAGCAGACATGATTATAGCCAGCTCTATTGTATGCATATAGATCTATTCTGTTTGCAGTAGACCACAGAGACCACTGCACCATCATAACATTTTCATTCATTTTTGTATCTATGTTTTTCTGTTCAATTAAATGTATTCTTGTATAGCCCTGAATCACAACAAAAGTTTTCTCGGAGGACTTTACACAACCGTTGAATTCGCAAATACAGATCAGAGAATCAGTTCAAAAACAAGAAATTAAACAGAAAACACATTGGTATTGGTCCATAAAGGGCAGATTACTAATGTATAAACGTCCATAAAAGTTGTTGAAGTGAGAGTCCTGGGTCATCACCAGTGTCCTTTTAGTTAGACCTCACAAAGCTCTAACAAACTTTATTCAGACCTTATTTAGGACTCTAATGCAGTCACATGACCCATAGCTAATACGATATTTCTACAGCCACTCAGGTCTTTTTAGTGCATTTTTCCCCCAACTTAACTAATATAAATTGCATACAATGTGGTCTCTGTCTACAGGTGTGAGGGGGAGAGTGAAGGCCAGCGGAGGCAGAGGAGGAGACAGACTGCAGAGAGTCCAGTCTCTGTAGCAAACACCAAAACATCTCCTGGGACGAGGTATGATTGATCTTACATTAGCATTTTAATATCATTTTATCATTATTATTATGGGAACACCACATTCAAACTCCTGAAGTCTTTTTGTGGAGGTTAGCCCTATGTCGTAAAGGCTACATGTATGTCCTTATGTCATGGTATTGATTTGAACTCAAGTTTGTGGTCCATTTTTGTTAAACTACTGCTATTATATAATTATGAATACACACATATGTACAGTCGATATAGCCAGACTTACCCGGTCTTACAGTACCTGCATATTCTGTGTTTACAGTAAGTTGCTGGTCACATGTTTTTTAGTTTAGTCAACAAGGATTATTCCGTATAAGCAGCATTTCACATATTTTACTTTGGTTTCAACACCGCCATCTTAACTTATATATAGCAACATGTATTATGAATTACTGTTATAGTGTGTTACTGTGTTACAAACCCCAAATATTGACATTTTCCATTTAGATTGAAACCAGTGGAGCCGCTTTTCCCCGTGTTTACTGCAGACAACTATGACACAAAGTTTGACAGAAAAAAACCAAGCCAGGTAAAAAAAACACCACATGCTTTTTTATCCAGTTTGGATGTTTTTTCTCAATAGCATCTTTTCCCACAGATTTCAAAGACAAACGCGCAGTATCATAAGTTATTTAAAGAACTAATCAAAGATGAAATCCTCAAGCAAAGTAAGCGTTCTAATGCACGGATATTTATACGTGTTCTGTCATAGCTTAGTCCATCTGTGTGACATATCTCTGTTGTGGTCATAGGCTATACGTGTGCTCTTCAAAGAGATATTTTATACCAAGGAAAAATGTTTGTCTCGGAAAACTGGATCTGTTTTCACTCCAAAGTTTTCGGTCGCGACACTAAGGTCAGTAGTCTTGTAAAAACATGCATTATTACATTGTCATATGAAAGTAACAAACCATCTAAAACCTGTTTCTAGATTGCTATCCCAGTCACATCCGTAACATTTATAAAGAAGACAAAGACGGCTCTGTTAGTGCCCAATGCCCTTGTTATAGAAACGACACATGAGCAGGTGAGCTCACTGGGACTGAAACACATCCCCACAGTACATTTAGTTCAGTTTTTCAGTTTATTTATTATTATTAGGGCAGAAGTAAAATTCCCTGTGCACCTATTGCATGATACAATATAAGTTACCAGAACATATTTCAATAAATAAAATTTTTTTAGTTACAGCAAAAACATTCATTTCGGTATCCGTCCAGGATCGACTTTGACAGTTTTTTCTTAGATACAAAAAAAAAGAATGACATATTTTCATCTCTCTGCTGAGATTGTTCCACAACCGAGGCCCATGAAACGACAAACATCTCTGAGTCAGTGATTTTCTAACTTTTGGTAAAATACATTTTCTGTCATCTCTTGAACTATATCTAATTTTTTTAAGTTGAAAATACTTTTGAAACCCTTCTGGAAGCACATTTGATTTAGCCTTAAACATGATTTGAAGTATTTTATAGTTAACAATGTCTTTAAATGTCATAATATTTGTTTTTAGAAATAATGGATTTCACTACGAACATTTACTTTGCCTTTGCAGCACGTATTTGTGTCTTTCCTGTCTCGTAACACCACATTCAAACTCCTGAAGTCTCTGTGCAGCCATCTGGAGGTCAGCACTCTACGTCAAAAAGGCCACATGTATTTGTTTATGTTGTGGTATTTATTTGAACGTGGGTTTGTGGTCTACTTTTGTTCCACTCCGCAGGTGGACAAGGCGTGTAGCAGCCCAGTCGTTTCCTCTTGTGAAAACAGCTTCAGAGTGAGGTGTCCTTCTCCTCTTCCTCTGGTCAGTGTGGGGGATTGTCCGGCTCGCTCTTTTATGTTTGCTTAAGAAACAAACCGTGAAAATCAAAGCATGGTTATTTATCATTGTATGTCCCTTGTGTGTGTGTGTGGTATGTAGGACTTCTCTGCAGACTTATGTGACTTGGATGGAGTGGTGCAGCAGCGACGACATGATATTATGGAAAGTAGCAGCACCGGATCCCAGACTCCAGACTCGGACAAAATGACAGGTGTTTTTATGAACATTGTGCAGATCTCTGTGATGTCGCAGGAGCTGGAATGGTCTCTTTTGTTCACGTTTGGAACTTGGCCAGTTGAAATTCAAGCGGTGTTTCCTCTTGTTGTGGTGTTAGTATTAGATAGCAATATGGCCTACGTGCAGGACTGTACAAGGACTCTACAAGGACTCCATGTTATGACTATGATTTGACTGTCTCTTTGTGACACGTATGTCTTTCGATGTGTGACGTGACAATGACTATATAAACTGTGTACTGCCTTTATTCTGTCTGAGAGAAAGAAACAAAGTAAACCATTGGAACTTGAGAGAAACTTAAATAAACCTCCAGAGTTTGGCGCACCACGATCCGTCTCTGTCTGCTGAATCCTGACAGTAGCTAAATTAGTGGTATATATTATCAAACCAGAAACGTCCCGATTGTCCTTGATTACTGACTTTCTCTTTTCACTATCATTGGCTTCTCAGAATTTGCTGCTCTTCAAAACTCTTTCCTAACGGCGGTGAAGAGCAGCGAGGTTTCAGCGCGTGCGGACGTGCATCTCCCGTCTCCGAGCCAAAATCACACAGCTACACTGAAAAACGGTATGTTTAGTTTGAAAGATTATCATAGTTTTGTCTTTCAAACATGCACAATATATAAAAAACAATTATTGTCTGAAAGAATAATGGCTTGAAAAGGGATTGAATGAAGAAAAAAGCTTATATTAGTCCAATCACCTCCCAATCGTTCAGACGCACTATTATACAATACAAAAACAAGACGCAATATGACGCACACACACACACACTTATGCTTCACTTCATTTTGGAAATACAAGTTAGAGACTTCTACAAAAAAAAGCATGTTACCGCTAATATTACTGCATTTAACCTGAAAATCAACGTATGTCAAAACATTACATTACTGTTTACCTACAACGCTTATACCTGACCCAATTAGAGATAACCTGTGTATATTGTTGTTGTTTTTTTCCCGTTGAAATAAATACATGCAATATAGCTTTGTCTAATGCCATACTGTTAAATCTTCTGACATATCATTAGCTCAGGTGACGCAGGAAAGATTACATTCTGGTGAAGGCTGTTTTTGTAACCGATAATATACAGTACTTGGCAGGCTATCGAACGCACCTGTATATAAACCGCAGCAGTCAAATTTGAAAGAAGATTACAAATAGAACACAATAGAATGTAGGCCACAGGTGTCATGTTGTAATGTAACACAAATCAACCGCTAACAAAGTATAAGAAAGCCAATAGACTACACTCAGTCATAGCTGGTCACAACATGATTTAATGATGAGCTGTTTTAACCATAGACTGTATTGTTTTAACGCACTGTTGATTTGCGATGGACAAAGCTTTATAAATTAATCAATAAAGTCTGAGGATGCATTCACTCACATTAGCATGCTTAGCTTCACTATTAGCTTCCATGACTGAGATGTCTTATGCGGACAGTGGCTCAGTTGGTAGAGCAATGGTCTGTGGGCCCAGGGGTTGTGGGTTTGAATCCACCACGAGATCTTTTCCATGTCTGCTGTCGATGTGGGCAAGCCACCCACTTTGCCTATAAAGAGCGCGGAAGTGGTATTCACTGCTTGCCTTGATGTGTTTATGTATATGTGTATGCATCAAACTGAAATTTCCCCATTGAATAAAGGAACCTCTTCTTCTTACAGCTACTAAAACTTTGTGGAGTCAAAATAATAAGTCCTTAAACTGCTCTGACAAAAGCCCACTTAACCCATTATTATGTAGACCACAGGGTTCAAAGAAAGTGGAAAAAGAAATGGTTCATAGTTCAAGTAACATAGTTTTTGTGGCCATTCTTGCATGTGAAAACCAAATCCTGTCAGATCTCTGAAGCTGTGCAGGGCAGGGCAGAGCTTGGTTAGTACTATGATGGGAGACACCAGGTCCCACAGTAGAATGGTCGCGGCTGTTAGGTGCTAAATTGTTGTTGTGTCCTTTGGCAAGACACTTTATCCACATTGCCTAGAATGAGTCTGGTTTGTGTGGGAATGGCTGGGGATGCTGCTCGGAGGGACCGATACAGTCAGGGCAGCTGTGGCTACTGTAGTAGTTTATCACCACTGTGTATGGAGTGAATGAATAATGACATGTAAAGTGTTTTTGAGTGTCCAAAAAAGCACTATATAAAACAGATGCATAATTATTTTGTTGTATGGAACAAACAATATAATAAGATATATAAATGATGTCCATGGAGGCACTCTATTTCACTTTACAATTAGGCAATCTTCCATCTGTGTTCATATTGTTTATAATTGTACGTTTGCTTTATTATTGCAGGACCGATAAAGACGTTTCGGCCCATTCCTCACGATAACTCAAGACTTTCTCGCGCCGTGTCATTCCACGCCATTCTTTTCATCTGTTTATTCTTGTGAGTAGCTCCAAGCATCTGTTTCCACCAGTCAGTGCTCCTGTAATCACTTTGTTTTCAGACTGATTTCATTGGTGTCTTGTTGTGAACAGAGTAAGTGTCCTTGTCCTCTCCTCCTGTTACATGGCGTTTAAGATCGTGGCTCTTGAGCATCGCTTGAACTCCTTGTTGTCGAGGGGAGAGCAGTTTCCGTGAGTCTATCGTACTAATTGAAAATAATTAATGACATATATTTTGTTTAATGTTTATCATTTCTAAAGCAGCCATCACAAACCCCAGGACGATGTGAATGCAGGTGTATATGGAGAGCTGTCTACCAATTTGTTGAAATTGGAAAAGGTTTGTATTGAGGAAGCACTGCATTACTGGTATTGGATATTGGGAATTATATTGGAGCGGGTATCGGTTTGATAATCGATATCCTGATTAGGCTTAAAGTTTTCTTCTCATAAGATGTATCAGCCTAGACATTATGAACTTAATTAATTAAAAAATATTCAATTCAATGTATTTTTGTATAGCCCTAAACCACAACAGTAATTATTTCAGAGGACTTTACAAAACCATCGAATATGCCAACACAGATCAGAGAATCAAACTGTACAAACACAATTTGTCCATAAGGGGCAGATGTTCATAAATGTTGAAAAATCTGTACTGTTTCCTGATAAGGTCTTTAAATTGACACTCAGTGGTCTCTCATTTATTGCAGGGGTTACCTTTTAAATATTAATTAATTCATACATTTTCATCCCCTTCATTAGTCCATTTCTGGGTCAGTGGGGAGGCCTCGGTTTTTCAGCTGGGGTTTCAGGCAAAGGGAGGTTAATGCCTTGCTCAAGGACACAACCGGTTTTAAATATATCCACAAAGTAGAAGCTCTATGTTTTAAGGCTGTAAAAAAAAACACAAATGCTGAGATATAAAACCTGTTTATTGTAAGGCTGAGTGCTGCTGCAGCTGTCAAAAGCTGTGCATACACTGTAAACACCGTGATGAGAAGCAGAACTGAGGGCTACGGGAAGAGCGCGGTTGTGGTGCAGACAAGCCACAAAAGTTTTCTTCTGACTTTAAATAATAGTAACGTAAGTAAGTCATGCTCTACTAGTGGTTATACGCAAAATTGCACACAATGAAATTGCGGCCGCAAAAGGTGAATCGTGTTATTCACCTTTTGCGCTGGAATAAGACTTAATACAATATTTTTTTCCTATTTATATAGAATATTTATTGGCTTTAACTCATTTTTTTATTGGTTGTTATTTATAAGAAAAAAACGGCAATTAAAAAACACAATTGTAGTGAGATTGCTGTGATTTGAGCACAAAAAACATGATGATTTTAGCCTCTTCACTGGTATCGGACCCGAAGTATTGGGACCAGTGTCGGACATGGAAACGCTGGATTAGTGTGTCTTTTGTTAGTAATTCCAGTTGGATATCCAGACTGAATTGCCTGAGGTTTTCTAGCAGGTGGTAATTTGCATAAACAAATAATTTTCAAATTACTAGTAGGTGTGGCACTTTGATGAAAAGAAGATAGTGATGTCTGAAGTGATACCAGACATCACTATCATACTGTGTTTGGGAGTAAGTACAGCACTTTCTGGACTATTAAGCACAAGATACAATTCAAAAGAAAGTAAAGTCCATATGTAGGCCGCACTCTGGTAAATCTATTTGATAATTACGTTCCTACTAAAGCTTGGAGTCAAAATGATAAGACCTTTGTTCTGACAATAGCCCTTTCCTGTGACTCCTGAGAATTTACCTGCTATCCCTAGAGTCAGTTCTCTGCTGTTCACATAAACACACTGGGAAGCAGGAATCAGGAGATCTGCAGTTGACAAATCTCTTCCTACACCCTTGAGGGCGCTCTAACAAAATAAAAATACATTCATTGGTCACATTGCTAGAGCAGTGTTTTTCAACCCGTGTGTCCTAGTGTCAAATGATCCAATGTCACTTATATGCTCAGAGTACTGTGAAAAGAAAATAATGTGAGAAGATAAGAAAGATTTATTTATATATACTTATAAAATACACTTTGATGAGAATGACTTTGCTTTGTCACTAAAGGCGGCAGAGTTTCTTTTTTGTATCAGTTTCTGCTGGAGGTGTAAAAGGTGTGCCTGTTGGTATGTAGGCTGCAGGTTCAAATAACTTGAAAAAAGTAGCAGCTTTTAGTCCAGCAAGTACTGTATATGTCCTTATATTTATAACATAATAGTTTGTTATTGTAATATAGCTATGTCTAGAGCCATTCTGTGAAATATTTTAAAAAAATCATTAGTAATCATACAGTGCCTTGCGAAAGTATTCGGCCCCCTTGAACCTTTCAACATTTTGCCACATTTCAGTCTTCAAACATAAAGATATAAAATTTTAATTTTTTGTCATAAATCAACAACAAGTGGGACACAATCGTGAAGTGGAACAAAATTTATTGTATAATTTAAACTTTAAAAAAAAAAAAAAAACTGAAAAGTGGGGCGTGCAATATTATTCGGCCCCTTTACTTTCAGTGCAGCAAACTACAGCTAAGGTGGGAGAGTCTGTCCATAGGACAACAATCAGTTGTGCACTGCACAAATCTGGCCTTTATGGAAGAGTGGCCATTTCTCCAAGATATCCATAAAAGTCTCTTAAAGTTTGCCACAAGCCACCTGGGAGACACACCAAACATGTGGAAGAAGGTGCTCTGGTCAGATGAAACCAAAATCAAACTTTTTGGCCACAATGCAAAACGATATGTTTGGCGTAAAAGCAACACAGCTCATCACCCTGAACACACCATCCCCACCTCAGCTGTAGTTATCTGCAGTTCATCCAGAGTGATCATGGGCCTCTTGGCTGCATCTCTGATCAGTCTTCTCCTTGTTTGAGATGAAAGTTTGGAGGGACGGCCGGGTCTTGGTAGATTTGCAGTGGTCTGATACTCCTTCCATTTCAATATAATTGCTTGCACAGTGCTCCTTGAGATGTTTAGGGCTTGGGAACTCTTTTTGTATCCAAATCCGGCTTTAAACTTCTTCACAACAGTATCTCGGACCTGCCTGGTGTGTTCCTTTGTCTTCATGGTTCTCTCTGCGCTTTAAACAGAACCCTGAGACTATCAAAGAGCAGGTGCATTTATACGGAGACTTGATTACACACAGGTGCATTCTATTTATCATCATCAGTCATTTAGGACAACATTGGATCATTCAAAGATCCTCACTGAACTTCTGGAGTGAGTTTGCTGCACTGAATAATATTGCACACCCCACTTTTCAGTTTTTTATTTGTTAAAAAAGTTTAAATTATCCAATTAATTTCGTTCCACTTAACGATTGTGTCCCACTTGTTGTTGATTCATGACAAAAAAATAAAATTTTATATCTTTATGTTTGAAGCCTGAAATATGGCGAAATGTTGAAAGGTTCAAGGGGGCCGAATACTTTCGCAAGGCACTGTAGCTATTGCTGAGATTTTACACCAGTGTTGACCAGTTAGATAATGTGAGATCCATCTTAATGTTCATGAGGTTTTTTTTTAATACTATGTTCAATGTAAATCTGTATATTTATGTTTTGTTATATATATCTTTTTCTTTTTTTTTTTAGATTCAAAGAAATCTTCAAAAGCTTCTTGACGAGACGTGACACTTCACTCCAGACCCCAGAGATGTTTATTGACGGTTTTAAATTATTAGGAGAACTGTTTAGATTACATTTTAGCTTTAAATGTGCAATATAAGCTTTATTATTTGCTTTATTCTGACTGAAGAAGCTACAACAATGTATTTTTCTGCTTTTGCTTTTGTGTATCATAGATTTAACACGTGCAGCATTTTGTATTGGAGCTAATTTTAAAACAAAAAAACATACCAAAATGTCAATGTAAAATATTGCTTTTTCAAACTCAAGAATGAAACATATATTTATTCATTGTGTGCAAATCATTTATTTTCACTTTGGTATTCAACTTTATCTTTCTGTTTTTATCGAGCGCTCCTCAGACTCCACTACTCAGAGCAGAAGGGTTCAGTGTAGAGCAGGACTAGTGTAAACCGGGTCACTACAGTGCAAACTAAGCAATGACGATGGATGCATTGCAGACTGTAGTATATTGCATCTTCAGATCTCTTGGACACACTCATATTAAGGCTCATTTAAGAATATCCAGAATACAACCAAATGCCCTTCTATATGTCTGTTCTTCAGCATTTGATTTCTTCTTCAACACAGAATTATCTAACTCAAACAAGTCCAATATGACAAATCTTGTGGTTCAAAAATATGAAATGAAAAGAGCTATTTATATATTTTCCATAGAGGCTTGTTTTGTTTTGCCACAGAGCCTCCGCCCACTCTTGTATTTTCAGCCAATGGGAGGCCTGGCTCCACACCTTGTCTGCCTCTCAACCACTGCTGAACCCACTGCATGACGTAAGAGCCAATCTGAAAGTGCAATGGCGATATTTGACAATAACAGTCGACGTTTTGTGGGACCACAGCTCTATTATGAGGCTAATGCTGAGCAAAATACCTCACATTTGCAGAAAGCCCAGATTTAATCTCTGCATCCAGCGAGAGCGTCACTTCGGGTGGAAAAGTGGGGGTACAGCCTGTGCATATGATGACAGTTTAGACTAAACGCTGGTAAGTGCAAACTCTGCTAATTGCAATGGCATTGTCGTGGCTGTTTGTGTCAGTGTAGTTGGTATTTTCATGCATCTTTGTTGTGAAAGGGGCGTGGCGGAGAGCTGGTTATCACTTGTGACTGCTGTGCACGGATAGCTTAGCAACAGCGGCAAAAAGATGCAGGCAGAGCGCAGACAATGAGCGTGTCATTTGTCAGCGTTCCTCTCAGTGGCCAGGCGCACGGTGCGCGTCTGGGATCTGGACACAAGGAGAGGCGGTGATTAGCTGCTGCTGCCAGATCCACTACAGGGCCATGTATGTGCCATGCAAGTGTAAACAAGGGGTGTGGGCCTATTCAGCGGTGGCCTAGGAAGCTGTGGGATGCATCTGCCAGGATGCTGAGAGCAAGGATTGCCCTGTTGGCATAGACAATGGGGATACGTTTGCACCAACTACACACATGGCTCGTGTCTGGTATAAATGCATTATACAGAAAATACCTGCATGTACATATAGTAGAAAAGGCTTCATTCTTTATGTGTAGCCTAATGCTGTTTTGCCTAGTGCCTCTGCAAAAGTTTGTTGAATGTACAAGCAGAAATACCTGTTGTCAAGGCTCTCTTTTGAACAGACAGGATGGCCACACAAGAACCGTCCCCTCCCTCATCCATGGAGAGCAATAAACCCGGGTTTCCCAAAAAGATTCTTGGCAACCAGTTGGAGGACAAACATCTGTGCAACTGCTGCCACAACATCCTCAGACGCCCGGTTCAGGCTCAGTGTGGACACCGCTTCTGCTCCTACTGCTTCAACAGGACAGTCAAGTGAGGACTTTTGGCACTCTTTCTGCACATTCTATGGGAAAACTTAACTTAACAAGAAGCACACAACATATACAAAGATAAAAGCACTGAAGGCTTTTTACAGTTAGTTAAGAAGCATTCACAGCTACTTATCTCTGTATTAGCTGTGTGATCCATGTGTGTTCTTACTACTGTCCTGTATGTGCAATGCAACACTGACTTTTCCCCACTCTGGGATAAATAAAGGTTCTCTTATCTTGTCTTATTGTTGTGTTGACAGCAATGGGCCGCAGAAATGCAACGCATGCATCAAAGAGGATTTGTTTGAAGAGACGACATCGATTCTGAAACAAGGATGTGTGAGTATTATATCAAAGAAATACAGTGTTTTGACAGTATCTATCCCATTCAAACCTTGGAATTATGAGAAAGTATGAGTTTGCTTTTTCACCAGATTTATTAAAAGTAAATATTGTAAGGTTTACTCATTTTTAATAAGTGCTAAAGTTGATGAATAAAACTAGAAATATACAAAAAAAAAAGTAATAATAATGCTAAAGATCAAATGCTGACTGCTGCAAGTAAGTAAGTATATATTTTTATTTATGTAGTGCCTTTCACAGACCAGAGTCACAAAGCGCTTTACAGTAAACAATGTGTTGCTATAGTAACTAGTACTTGCTCTTTTCTGGTGAAAAAACAAGCTCAACTCAGAACCAGAACCTTTCCAGGACCAGTCCAGGACCTTGAGAAGGGGATTTTTCTGTCATAGAAAGTTTCTACAGGAAAGGGGTGGATGATTGTGGTATCTTGTTGCATTACCATGACATTTTTTGCTAAAAATACAGACTAAAGACTTAACATTACTGTTCTGGGAGTTAAAGATAGAACTCCTCTCACATTCAGATAAGATAAGTTCATAAAACATAGTATAGAAAAGGACAAAAGTAGAATCATTGCACCTCCAAGCTGTCAAGTTGCACCGGGAGTTCTGGTGTTCATTATGGTCCACTCTTTATATGAATTGTTTATACTTGAACATTTACTTTTTGATTATGAATATACGAGTAAGAATCTGCACTTTTGGCCTATTTCAGGCTTTTCCAGACAACGCGGTCCGGAGGGAAGTGGAAAGCCTATCAGCCGTTTGCGTCAATGACAGTTGCACTTGGAAAGGCAGTATTAAAGATTATGAAGTAATAACTGGATTCATGGAAGTTGCCCTCTTCATTGTGTACTATAACAGACTATTTTAATCTTCTTTCTTTCTTTCTCCAGCTGACCCACGAAGGGAAGTGTGAGTACATGGTCATCCCCTGTCCATCCTGTAAAGAGAGAATACGCTTCAATGAGCAGGAGCGGCACAATGAGCGCGAATGCCCAGAAAGGACACTCAACTGCAAGTACTGCAAGGAACCATTTCACTTCAAAAACATCAAGGTTAGTAATTATTTATCTGACTTTTCTTGGGGGCTTTCTTATTCCATTCCAGCACCACTCAATAGAGCAGCTTTCACTCTACTATCACTACACACGATTCTTATGATTGTAGGCCCATGACGAGATCTGTCCCAAGTATCCCATGATCTGTGAAGGATGTGCTAAAAAGAAAATACCCAGGGAAAAGGTGCGTTTTAATTTTTTGTTTACGGTTAACAATCATCCCAATATTTTCTTTTAAATTACTGAAATTCTTGTTTGTGTCCAGTATGTGGACCATATTAAGTTTTGCAGCAAATTCCGAACTCCCTGTCGGTTTCACGTGGTGGGATGTGATATGTCGGTAAGTGGACTTGATGATTTGTGTCTTTTCAGTAATTGTTTCAGCCAACTTTGATGCTTAAGGCTGAGAAGGTTCCTGCTCATAAGACAAAGAGTGTAAAGAAGCTAGTACTGCTTGGTTACTTGACATGTTTAGACTTCCGCCTTTGTCAGAGGTGGTCGTCTCTTATCAGCTGTTGTTACCAAATACGCACAGTTTGACCATGCCCCCCACTGCGCTGTGGTCTCTGGTAAAACTGTGTGAGACAAGGTATAGGCCCCCTCATCTCTGTTGATGGTCCATGTGCCATGCTCACTGATTTTAAGACTCCATGTCAGACTGGCCGCATCCAGTAACAACAGCTGATAAGAGACGCATCACAACTCACCTCTGACGAAGGCGGAAGAGTGTCCCCCGAAACATGTCAAGTAATTAAGCAGCACGAGCTTCTTTACACTCTTGGTCGTATTTAAAGATTCTTCAAACCTTTTTTTGCATTTAACTTTGATGCTTCTGTTGTGTTTAGGTAGAGAAAGAAAAGATTCATGACCACGAGCGTGCCTATGCCTACGAGCATCTCAATCTCCTCCTTCACTACATCATGGGTATGAAAGTCAGCATGGAGGGCATTCAGCCTCAAGGACTGGAGTTGGCCGGACACAAACTGGTGGAGCTCCAGCAGTCTCTGAAGGAGCTTGAGGCCAGAGTGTCCCAGCTCAGTACCGCCACTGTTCCTCCCGTGCAGGGAGCAACTGCCTCCTCCTCATCCTCCACCTCCGCTGCTCTGCCACCGCCCACTTTGGCCCCAACGCTGTCGGTGTCCACGTCATTTACCCCTCTGCCCAGCTCAGTCGGAGCGGCTCTGGAGCTCCAACTCCACAATGAGAAGACCAAAGTGGCTGAACTGGGACGCAGATGCACTGAATTGGAAGTCAAGTCTGGAACATTTGAAAATGTGGTTTGCGTTTTGAACCGAGAGGTAGAGAGGTTTGCAACGACACTGGAAGCAAGTAATCGACAACATAAACTGGACCAAGATAAAATTGAAGCTCTCACTAATAAGGTAAGATTTGAACATACCGGTGTCTAAAATGGACTTCAATGAAAAAAACATTGACCATAATGTGAGCCACACAGGTGCGACAGTTGGAGCGGACTGTGGGACTCAAGGACCTGACTGTGGCAGAGATGGAAGGCAGACTGAGAGAGATGTCAGCCACGACATTTGATGGTGTGTTCATCTGGAGAATTTCTGACTTCGCAAAAAAGCGTCAAGATGCAATTGCCGGCCGAGCTCCTGCCATGTTTTCTCCCGGTAATTTTGATATTTAGTAATTATTCTAAAGCCTTACTCATTATATTATCAAATCCATGCAGTTGAACACGTTTTTACTTTTTACAGCTTTTTACACAAGCAAGTACGGCTACAAGATGTGTCTGAGGATCTATCTGAATGGAGACGGAACAGGACGTGGCAGCCACTTGTCCCTGTTCTTTGTTGTGATGAGAGGGTTGAGCGATGCGCTGCTCAAATGGCCTTTTAACCAGAAGGTACAGAGCTGCGGACCTTTAACATGTGATGAAATCCAGTTATCATGTTTGTGTTACTGCCCCTCAGGTGACACTGATGCTCCTGGATCAGAGCAACAGAGAGCACATCATTGATGCTTTTCGGCCTGACGTCACTTCCTCATCCTTCCAGAGGCCTGTGAGCGAGATGAACATTGCTAGCGGATGTCCACTCTTCTGCCCCCTGTCCAAACTTGATGCCAAGAACTCGTATATCCGTGACGATACAATCTTCATCAAGGCGATAGTAGATCTGACAGGTCTCTAGGTGAAGCTTCACTGTGGTGCCTCCACATCAGCAGCTCTTTAACCATTCACGCTTTATTTTAGCCTAACTTTGAACCAGTATTAGGGTGACAAACATATTTGCTACTCTGTACGTGGTTCTGTTCTGCAACGTTGACAGAGCAGTATATTGTTTAGCTTGGGTGCAAAGTAGAGAGGGAGCTCATAGGCCATTGGCTGCTCTGGATTCTCCAAACATACGTGTCTGCATTGGCCATGGAAGAAAAAAACACAGGCACAAAACATGGTCGTGGCTGAGGAGTGAGCTGTAGATCAGAGTGCAATTTGAAAAATCTACATTTTGTAGGCTGTGGATGGTAGTTTAGGGTAATGCCAACTTGTTGTAGAGTGTGGCTTGAAGCAATTTGCGTCATTTTTAAATTGTGTATGTCAATTAACTTTTAGTTCCCTTGTTGGAATTTGCATACACAAACGTGGAGTTATGTTTTAAGATGAATTGGCATTTTTGCAGCAGATGCATGACAACGCTTGTAGTTTATGAATGAAATCATTTTTCTGTGAAGTCAGTTGTATGGAAGTTTCTTATTGGTAGACTTGTGAATTATCCATCTGTGATGGTGGACATTGCCTGCATATCTTTCAGCCCAGGCTTTTACATGTAAAGTTAGTGTTGCGTATTTGTTTCCTTTAGGGGTTGGTGGTTTGGTACATCTGTGGAAGATAACAATGGAGTTACCAAGGAGTCAGGGCAGTTTGCCAGGCGAACCTGAGGCATTCACGCTTCATGTGTTTTTGTCTCTGACAAACATGCACAGCTTATGTTTTCCCGGGATTTACTCACTAGCTCACATCTCAAACACGTATGGACGCCCCTCCAGAAGGGGTCAGTGCATACTAAACAAATGGAAGGAATTGTTCCATCTATGATTTCTGTCTATGCTGTAAAGGGTTAAACTGGAAGTGAATCAGAAACAAGAGGATGCTGATGTGAAGTTATAATATATGATCAATGAAATGATACATGAAGTATATTTGTAGAGGTTTAAAGAAGTGAATAGTTTGTATTATTTTACAATATTTTTGGTGTAGATTCAAGGCCACTGTGGAAATTTTTACTTACAAAGCTATCAGCTATTTTAGCTAAATCAATATTCTCAGTGTTTCCACACCAAAATGATCAAATGGACACGGCTCCAGGTTTTAAATGGTTATTTATATATTCTTGCCATTCCTCTACTTGTCCACCAGAGGCTGCTGTTGTCATGCAGCCTGCATGCTGATGTACAGTTCCCACTGGCCTGTTTGAAAACCAGTCTGACCAGTATTGAACTCTCTCTGTGCATGGGAGGTTTCAATCCACAATTCACTAGAGTTTCACATTGGTTTCCCTTGTGGACCATGTGTGAAAACGTTTACTTTTATTTGTTTGAATAATACATGATTATAGAATAGTTATTGTGGTATATCCGGTTGAGTAACTGTTATACAGTTTTTCAGCCTATATTTATAGAAACTTATAATAATGTATCTCTCATATAATAATGTCCAAACAATCTATATATCAATGTTAATATACACAAGCTGTTATAATAAGCATAGTATCACTAAATACCTTATTAACTCTATATCTATATACCAGTGTTTTGTTTGTCAAGATGGTTGGAACAGGCCAGCACAACCCTTTTACCAAGTCAGTTTGTGTAAATGCTTTTTGAGTGCAATATATTCTCATTATTAAGGCACACTACTGATGACCTATTAGTTTCAACACTTTCACGCCAAGCCAAAAATGTGCTGCATTTTGACATTTATTATAATAGTGCTTTACTTTGTTTATTCAAAAGAAGTAATATTTCAATAACAATATTTGGAAATCTGACAAATGACTTGTTTTTGTAAGATGGAAGTTATGTTCATGTAACAGGAGTTCAGTGGCTGTTTTAAAAACGAACTCTTCTACGTAACAAATGAGCGTAGTATTTTGTGTGATTGAACCTTTCACATTATTATTGTATTGTGCCAAATGTTTTTATATTTTAGACTGTGTGCATGGGTGTTCTTCTCTGTCACACTGAGTTGCTGCTACTGAATGCTCTGAGGGGGAATTAAGGACTTTTCTTCAAACCTAAATGGAGACCAAGGTTTTTGAATGTACTGTTACTAATTTTACTAAAGCTCTGTGGTGTGGTGCCGGTAACTTGAATAACAGTTTTCTTTGTGCACTTTCCGTTGTTTGTACAAACAGGGTATTTTGAGTAATCATTTTGGATGACCATGTACCTTGAAATTAGAGCCATATACTGATGTTGATATTTGATGTGATACCAATGCAGTGTGAATAATAAATGTACTATTGAATGAAATATGATGGCAATATTTGTATACATTAATATTCATATGTTGTATTATTATTGTATTTGCACTGCAATCCCGTCAGGCCTTTGAAGGTAAGCAGGGCCAGGGCTAATTAGTATTGTGATGGGAGACCTCTGGGAACACCAGATGGCACTGTGAGGCGGCTGCAGCTGCAAAGTGCCACACTGCTGCTGTGTCCTTAGGCAAGGCTCTTCACCCAAATGCCTTGAATGAGTATGGCGTGTGTGTGAATGGTTGGTTGTAATTTGTCACCACCGTGTATGGAGTGAATGAGTAATAACATATATAGCATTTTAAAGTGTCCAAAAAAAAGTTGTACAACTTCATTATTGTTACTATTATTTATTTATTCTTTTTAAACGTACCACTAGAGGGCACAATTTCTCATTCTGACAAATTTGAAACTACGTGTTTAATAATCATAAAAGTTGTTGGAATGCATTTGAATGAACTTACACAAAACAAGCTGCAAAAATAAGTTGAACATTCACTTCTACTCCAGGTTTGAGCCGTGGGACCAGTTCCCGCCTCCGTGTCTTTGACCTCAGTGGAGCACATTTGCCTTTTTAACAACAGAAATCACTACAAACAATTGGCAACGTTTCGGGTCAAGTATGTAACGTCCAAATGTTTTCAGAAGTGGAAGTGCCTGTTTCTGTGTCTCTTTATGATCAGTTATGTCGAGAAGATCCATGGTAAGTAGCAGCGTTAGCTATTAGTAGTTAAGCTAGCACTATTAGCAATCGTAGCACATGGTAGTTTAGTATGGTAGTCGTCATCATTCTTTGAGACAGACAAATGCAACCATGTTATTGGGACATTGTACATACACACAATTCTCACAATATAAACACGGTTAAATAAATGAAAATGATGATTATAATGATTTTTGTATTTGTTCAATATTAACGGCTTATTAACCGAGCGCGAGGTCTGTATGGGGAAATATCAGACTGATATTTATCTGTACAGACCGAGCAAGCAATGTTAATAAATGTTTTATTATATGACTCTCGTCTGTGTCTTTACCAATGCTTTTGAGATATTTGTGAAGTATGTTAATGTCCGACTTGGTTTTGTGTGATACGCGCTGCGGACAGATTGTCATGGTAACAGTCCGAGGAAAGATATCAAATGTGATACGCGCTGTTCGGACCAATTGTCATGGTAACGTCCGAGATGGGAAAATATCAGACCGGTATCAGCCAATCAGAGCGCGCGTACGGTCCAAGTCATATAATGATGTGTTCTCATTGTCACAGAGAAACGTCAATGTGGAGCCCAGTTTTCTCAAAGGAATCACTACTGTCATCTCATAGAGGCGCAGTAGCTTACATAAGGTCATTGCACACACATGGATGAAAAAAATCTTGTCTTGAGTAAAATAAATTCTGTTTTTATGACTAAAACGTTCAATTTTTATGAGAACCTTTATGAGACCATTTGTTTTAGCGAGAGACATGGTGTCATCATAGACTCGGAGCTCATTCTTGATGACCATTTGTCGTGAGCATGTGTTACTTTATCGCTCTAATCTTAAATGATCACTTTAAAAACATTGATATACAATAAGATGTTTAGAGTCCAAGTAGATAAGTGACCAATTATGAATTATTTTATTCAACTATATTTCTATGTTGGGCTCAAATTTAAATCGAGGGAGTAAATTAAATTGAGTAAATTAGTTTCAAAATTACGTTTAGTGTCCCATGGTAGCAATAAGAACAAATTACCATAAATACTGCAAAAGAAAGTGAATCACATTAATTGAAAATCAGTTAAAAAAATTGGTCCTGTGGGTCTTGTATGACATGTGCAGTCGCAATGTTAGTTGTAAATGTTGCAATTAAATATGTTTCTATAAATCGTGTAGGCCTGGTTTAAATTATGTGCTATAGCACGCGGCCTGGACGCTCAGCAGTAGTGGACAGGATAAATCAGGCTGTCGAAAGCAGGTCATTCCCTCTAGTCATGTCAATACATAATTAAAAACAGGATGCAGCAGCTATGACCCACCACCACAGAAATATACACATTGCATCACAAATCTCCATGTGAATTTCAATTACATTCCCCTTTTCCATTATTACAAAATTGTACCCACAACACTGCAATTTTCATTCAAAGCCAGTAACACAGAACTCGAAAAATAGTATAATAGGGAACTGGAACAACAGTTATTCAGTCCACAATTTATTTTTGAATAGACTGATTTTAAACTGCAGCATCTCCCATGAATGTAGCTGTGAAATGTTCTTATGAGCATACAAAACATTTAATGGAAAACAAAAAACACAACTTTTATAACATTATTATACTCACACAATCACATAAGTTGAATGCCCATTAAACTACCAGCTCTTAATCCCTGGTCTGGATCATGTTATAATAGATCTATGGTCGAGTGGATACACTAAGCTCTTTTGTTCGGCTCAAAGCTTATTAGCACTATTGATTTTAGCTCATTTATTTTACAGGCTTCCCGCAGGGGAGCCAGATGACCCATCTACATACCAACTACACCCATGCACTGAGCACAGACGGCGTTTTTGTTAAGAGATGGGTTGATATCTTTCTGCTCAAAACATTCTCACTGCGTGACAAAAACAGTGACTATTGGTCTCTTCTTCAATTTCAACATAAGAAGGTAAGTGGATTATCTATCTCTGTGATGGTTGTGATTTGTTATAGTTATTGTGTTTAAATTGTGTTATAATATTCAGCACTAGTTTGAAAGGATTTCAAGAATGACATAATAACATAACCCATTACTTTTTGCATTAAATTAAGTTAAATTATTTTGTATAGGCCTAAATCACAACAGTAGTCATCTCGGGGGGGGGGGGGTTAAAAATTGTCAGTTCGCCAACACAGATCAGAGTATCAAATAGATAAAACACAAAAAATGCAATGATAAAACATCAGTCATTGGTCCATAAGGGGCAGACGACCAATGTCCATAAATGTCGTTGAATTTTGAGTGTCACCATTGTCCTTAGACCCTCCTGCATCGGCATTGACAGTAGCAACCTGAAGTTTACATACACCATATAAAAGATACTTATTCGTCATGATTGAACTACAATTAAAATTGTAGTTATATTGTTTCAGTTCTGTGAGTTTTACTAATTATGTTAAGGCTACAGTCATGAGATAAAACAAGAGAAGACCCAAAACTGCAAAATGATATAATTTAATGGAGAAACATGAATCCAAAAGGGAAAACTAAAACCAGGGACAAGACATGAGGGTGGGTGAAACAACTGGACATGTCAGGCTTGTACAAAAATGGCTCAAAAACAGACCCCAAAACAATGGCTAGATGCAAGAACACGAGGAAACAAGACAATATGACATATAAGGCAGGGAGCACACAAACTAAATACTCAAGGACACAGGTGAGACACATCCAGGGTGGGGCAGTAATCAGGGACAGGAAGTAAATTTAGAAACAAAGACAAACAAGAGAAAGGTCATTTCAAAATAAAACATATCGGGACAGGACAGACAGGAAGTAAAACTCAAAACAACACGAGAATGACTGTATATCAAAATAAAACCAGATGAAAATAAATCTGTAAATAAATAAATAAAAAGTGTCTACATTATGACAGCTACATCGCAAACATCTTTTTTGACAATATGAAAAAATCGTTACGATATTAGGAAGTCTGGTTATTTCTTGGTGTCATTTCCAAATGCTTAAAATGCCACGTTGAACTGTTTAAACAATTTACTTTAAAATGTAAACACGATCCAGAACGTCCAGTCATACCACGGCTCTGTGCTGTGTCTCTGGCTGGCGTGTCTGAGAGTCGAACGTGCTTTGGTCAAAAATTTGCTAATCAACCACAGAACAAAAGATGAAGAAAGAATGTGTCATTATCCAAAGAGTCCTGTACAAACATGAGCTGAACGACAGCAGAGAAGAAGTGATTATTCCAAAAGAAACATTAACAGGCCAGATTACCTTCGCTAACACTCAGGAATTGTTTCATACATGTGAGTGATGTGAAGTGGAACTGTTTGGCCATAAGGACTTAAATTTGGAGGAAAAAGGGAAGATAGACTTAGAATTGATAGAAGCATAGATGGCGTCATGAAGCAACATCTCAAGGTCAAGTCCCTCCTCCCTGAAAATAATGTGTTCTCACAAAGAGCTACCCTAGTTTTATAATGGTCCTCTGTCTTTCGCCTCTTCTCTGTTACCTCCAGTGCCATTTTTTGGTTTAGCTGCTTTTTCCCTGAATCACAAAATGCTAAATGGCAAAATAAACAAACTTGGTGATGAACTTTGCCTGTGCGGCACAGGAAAGGAGGGCGCGTGACTGGTTCTGTGCATAATGATTGCATGTGAGAGAGTGAGATACACCAAATGTTGCCGTAGACACATCACATTTTTAATTGGTTCAAACATCTCTCTGAATACCTATTGGTCAAAAACGTGTGCATAATGAGTGTTCTAAATGTCTAAATGACACCAAGATATTGGGCAAATATCAATCATTGAGCCAATCATATAAAACAAACATATTTCTATTAATAACTGACCTGAAACATTTTATTTATTTTAGAAAATGGGAATACAAATATTGTGTCTTTAAGTAAACTTTCAGGTTATCTATGAGTTTCACAGAGACTATGGAGGCTTTCAGAGGAGGCTTTACTGAGGCATAATACCCAAGTTTCCAGACAAGTTGTTATAAAGCGCACAGACAAATGTAATTGAGATTACCAGTTTCTGCTTAAGCCTCGTGACATATATCAGAGCTGGAAGAGAGCACAGCTGTGCAGTGTGGAAGGAGACCCGGCACTCATGAATCTGCAAGCAGCTGTCACAAATACTTTACAGTAATTTGACCATTTGTTTGGTTCTTTTTCTTGTTGTTTCCATCATCAAGTATTTTCTTAGAGAAAATATTTTCAGAAAAAAAGTTGTAGTTAAAAATATATGAGTCCATGTAGGATGTACTTTTTAATGTATATACTGTATCTTCCGTTCTCTAACACAGACTCAAATGGTTTCGTAATAGTTTTCAGTAAAACAGCCACAGACCACATCCCTCTCTGTAAATCGAAGCAGCCCAAGAGCAGTGAAAAGAGGCATGAGACGCAATTTACCATCAGCATGCATGACCTGGAGCCATGAACCCTGAAGGCATTATACTGGCCATTAAGTCTGGAGAGTATTACATACAGTACAGCAGCACAATAGTATACGTACAGTATAGTGACCATCCACCTGTATATATCCAGTTATACTTTTATCTGTACCTGGTGTATGAATTGTACTGTACAAATAAACTTGCATTGCCGTCCCAGAGCACACACAAAATAATGTTTCATAGGAACACAAATGCAACTTTTCACCTTGAATCTCGTGCTTCCTCTGTTCACTAACCGACCAAGCTCGTCGTTTGCAGCTTTCTAGTGGTGAGAACAATTACATCATGCTTCCACTCATTTTCCATGTGTGACGACCGCAGAGTTCCTGCAGCTGTACAGAGGAGCTGCGAATGGCAGAACCAGTGTGGAGCGAGCCGACAACTGGACTGTGATGGCTCCATGCGCTGCCTTTGGAAGTAACGGACCATCAACTTGAGCTGGGTAAATAGACGGTAAAGTAACTAATCCTTTGAAACTTCCCATGAAGTTTAGGTTGAATGTGATTTTAAAATGAGGTTCTCATCCATCCATTGTATTGACATGAACAGAGAGAGGATGCAGACAGACAGACTCTGACAGAATAGGACTTTATTCACAGAGTGTAAGAACTAGTGATATGTACGTTATTTAATGACAATTTACATTTGAGCACAATTCTATCAGTTGACAGCTGTCTGTGTAACATGTTTTATTGACCACACAGTCATTTATGTTGTAGTCAGATGCTTTCTGGCACTAGACATGATCTCTCTGTGAGTATTCTTATATCCGACTGCTGCTTTCATTTATGTGTGATTCACAACTTAGTCATAATGCCATCACCCTTACTTATAATTACTGAGCTTTGTTTCAACATAAAGTCTGCTTCAAGCATATTACAGAGTGCTTGGTGCCAATTTCACCAATGTGTATACGGATCAGAAGGATTCAGTCACAAACTGCATGTTAATGAGTATTTATTTGAGACAAATATTTATAGACACACAACATTGTAGTCTATGGCTAATTGTCCCCTGTGTTCTCTATTTGAACAGCCATGGCTGCGCTCTTGTAGCAGAAACTATACTTTGAGGATTGCATCTTAAAGATACTTTGTACATTTTCTGATGAGTATCAATAATAATACAGTATCTTTGTGATGCAAGAGAGTTTGCGTAATAGAATAAGCCATTGTTATTTTCTCTCTTCTCATTCATATTAGCCTCTGTAATTTTGCAGTTAACCATAGGCTCTGGCCGTCAGTCATGCCTTTGTATACGGCATCTCATTTAGAGCCAAGAGGCCAATCACACAACACTCAGCTACAGAAAAGGAAAATGGCTGTGTAGGGGATTGACGCTTGTGTAAGGTTTGTAGTTAAAGAGCTGGGGGTTTAACCCAAGACTCTCCCCACATTTGAAGGATTTTCTCCTCCACTCTCTCTCTCCCTCTGCTGCAGTGTGGAGCCTGGAGCCGGAGCTGTGGAGAAACAGATAAGCAGCTGTCACCTCGTGGAGAGCTCAAAGACACCAGAAAGCCTCCTGACAAGTTGACACATTTAATGGACTTCAGAAACCAAGGGGTGAGTCGCCATATTCACTGATTACAAAAATACTTTTATTTTCACATAGATGGGTATGTCACATTTATTATTTCCTACTGAACTGATCAATCCCAAGAATCTTTTTGCATCACATTCTTTGTGGATGCAGCAACTTCTTCCATAGTCTGAAAGATTGAGCTGCCAAACCTGAGGTCTGCTCTTGACGAGCTGTTGGACAGAAGTGTAATACAATCATTATTGTGGCTGTGGCGTGTGATGTCAGTCCAAGTTGTGACATCTAGAACACTTGTTTATCCAATGTTAGATCATGTGTGATATTTGCTATATTGGTCATATTAAATCAAATATACAAGCACAAGCAAATTGTATCACTTAACCACATTGTTTGTTAATTACACTAAAGCAAATATTCTACGTGGCTTTTAAGAACTCAGACATCACACAAAACACAAGTGGTTAGGAGTGGGTTACTTTTCTGCAGTGATTGTTGTCTGGAGAGGGCGCTGTCTTTTGTGTCTGCTGCCGCTGAAATTTATATTTGTGATGTGAAATCCAGATGCTATTAGAAAAAAAAACCAAAACGCCTCCACGTAATATACTGTAAAGAAAAAAAGTCAATATAAACCAAAACATGTGGCTATATTCCTACTTGTATTCATTCTCATTCAACCTCAAGCTGCGTTTGGTTTTGGGTTTGCAGTATTTTGTCAAGACATAAGCATCTCTAGAGAGGCACTTGTTGAAACACTGATATGTTTAGTGCATATGTTTTGAGTTAAAGTGTCCAGACGTGTTGTACTGTATTGTTCTCGATGAGCGACACTCACAGCTGGCAAAATAAGAAATCAAATGAACCGTCGCATGATGCATGAGCTAGTACAATTAGTGCCACGAAAGCGTAACCGAGAACTGCAGCATTGTGTGGTACCAGTGTCTTTTTCTTCAACCAGACAAAACAGATGTCTTCTCACAGTTTCACTTTTCCTAACGGGAAAGTTCCCTTCTCCTCTGCCAACATCAGAGAGTCCGCATACAGGGATTCTGGATTGTAGCTTACTGACGTTATATTTGTTTCAATTTTCTGTCCAAATTATTTTTCCATGCCCTATTGGGGAAATGATGTGTCCTTGCCCAACCTCAGTTTTTCTATTTTTATACATGTCACTTTTTTATGGTACTTTTCCCTTCATATTGGTCAGGATTGCCGGTGATTTATTTTCAGGGTGACAAATAAAGACAAAGTTTTATTTTACATGTGAGAAGATGTACATGAAGGCCTTGTCTGTGATACTTGCAGATTTATGACTCGCTTCAAAAGCTGCTATCCCCGTTTTTTTCCAGATGTGCAGCTGTCATACATATATTGAAAACATTACATTAAGTCCAAGAAATATGACTTTGCAAAAGGTCAGGGCAAAGTTTATAGAGCACTAAAAAATTCAAGATTTATGGAAAGAGTCTTGTTTCACCCTCTGACCTTACCTTAAAGAAAATATTCCCCACGCAGAATCATGTCCACTAATACAGGATTTGTGTTGGAATACATGTAATTATAACTTCATCCAGGGGAACAAGTCAAAAGACAATATAAATCTACTCTATTAAACCACAGCTGTAAGAGAGTAAAAACACTACTTTCATCTAGTGAATATTAACCACCATCTTCCGTCTGTGTTTGAAGCTGTTATTAACCGTGGCCTGGCCTGCAAGATTGTGTCTCACAAGAAGACATTAATAATTATTTTTAAATCCTGTGGTTCCAGTTGGTCAGACAGTCAAGGTCCATTCACTGTTTCTGGTCAATTTTACTGGAATTTTACAGGAAGTCAACAGTTACACCGCCCTTTCTACACAAGGGAGTTATGACCAGTCTGATCACTGGATAATGAAAGCTAATTACAGTACAGTAAATATATATAGTTGTATATTTGTAATACTTAAGTAGTCATACAATATACAGTCATATCACATACTGTATGAGTCTGTGCAGTACCATAGGGTTTTGGTATTTTTAGGAAATTATGTTTACATGAAGGCCTTGTACGTGATACTAGCAGATTTACGGTTTATAAGAATTACAGTACAATAGTTATTATGTGTGCCTCCCACTTTTTCCAAAATTACATACAACTTTCACTGTTTAATACTTGGTTGCAAATCATGTGCAACTAATTACAACCTGAAGTCTGGACGCCACAGACATCACCAGATGCTGAGTTCCATGCGTGGTGATGCTCTGCCTCATTCTCAGTGGTGTTCTATTTGTGTTTTTTCACTTCTTTAGCACAATCACTGATATTACTCTTATTTTCTTCTTTTCCCAGATTTTGAACAATTGAATCAACAAAGATGGATTTGAGAAGACGTCTGGGCTGCCTGCTTTTAACTTTATTTATTGCTTTATCTGAAGCTGAGCTATTGAAGAGTATCTTAAGGCATCGGAGGCAGACTGTGTTGTCCTCAAAGGAGCAAAACATCAGCCTCCCAAGTACAAACACGTCTATGTTATTCAACCATGTTTATAGCATCAACGTCCCTGCCAGTGCCCTTTGTACCGTGGACCTCGATGGCTCAAAGAAACCACAGACGTTCCCTCTGAATGCGGCAGACCAACCCGTCTCTGAGCACACAGTCAATGGAGAAAACCAAATCGTCTTCACTCACCGCATACACATCCCTCGACAGGCCTGTGGCTGTGCAGACGACCTGCCAGTTTTAAAGCAGCTTTTGAAACGTTTGGAGAGACTTGAGGGAGAAGTTTCAGCGTTAAAACGACAATGCAGCAGTGGCTCTCTATGCAGTAATAATCAAACAGGTACACAAGCATGAAGTTTTGAATGGTGTGGATATAACACAGAAAAAGTTGGAAAAGCAGTAAAGATCTTGCTTATCTGATGTGGGTAAACATGTATTCATAAATTTGCTTTGTATTTGTTCTCAGGGGATGTGGGGACAAAGCCACACTGTAACGGCCATGGAAACTTGAGTGCTGAGATGCGAGGCTGTATTTGTGAGCCAGGGTGGAAGGGACCCAACTGCAGCCAATCAGAATGTCCCCTGAACTGTGGAGACAAGGGCCGCTGCGTACAGGGGACGTGCGAGTGCTTCAAAGGGTTCTCTGGAGAAGATTGTTCTGTAGTGACGTGTGCAGTGGACTGTGGAATACACGGACAGTGTGTGGACGGTCAGTGTGTCTGCTCTGAAGGCTTCTCTGGAGAAGACTGCACTCAGACCAAATGTCTTAACAACTGCTTTGGCCGTGGTTACTGCGTGGATGGAGACTGTATTTGTAATCATCCCTGGAGCGGAGTGGACTGCTCTGAAGTTACATGCCCCAATAACTGCTTCGAAAACGGCCGCTGTGTAAACGGGACTTGCGTTTGCGACGAGGGCTACGCAGGACTGTACTGTGGGGCACGCACTTGTTTGAACAATTGCCACGGGAACGGTTTTTGTGTGGAGGGCAGGTGTGTTTGCACAGCGGGCTACAATGGGGACGACTGCTCTCAGCTCACCTGCCTCAACGACTGCAGCGGCCGAGGCTCGTGCTTCAACGGTGTCTGCATCTGCGACGTGGGCTACCAGGGAGAGGACTGCAGCCAGGTGGCGTGTATGAACAACTGCAACACTCGCGGCCAGTGCATTAATGGACAATGCTCATGCGATGTCGGTTTCCAAGGTGAAGACTGCTCTGAGCTGTCCTGTCCCAGCAGCTGCCACCACAGGGGGCGCTGCGTCAATGGGCAGTGTGTCTGTCACGAAGGCCTCACCGGAGAGGACTGCAGCATCAGGACCTGCCCCTCCAACTGCTTCAGTAGAGGCACTTGCGTTAAGGGTCACTGCAGATGTTATGCTGGTTATAGTGGAGAGGACTGCAGCCAGCTGAGTTGTCCAAACAGCTGTAAACACCAAGGCCGCTGCGTCGACGGACAGTGTATCTGCGAGGATGGTTTCACCGGAGAGGACTGCGGCCAGAGAGCGTGTCCAAACGACTGCATGAAGAGAGGATACTGCCTTGATGGAAGATGCATCTGCCAAGAAGGCTACTCTGGAGATGACTGTTCTGCTCTCGTTTGTCCTGAGAACTGCAACAACAGGGGCCGCTGCATCAAAGGGAAGTGTTCTTGTGAAAGTGGATACGAGGGGGAAAGTTGTGCAACCATAAGCTGCCTCAACAACTGCCACAACAATGGCCAGTGTGTAGATGGTCAGTGTCTCTGTGAGGAGGGGTTCACAGGAGACGACTGCTTAGGAGGTAGACCCCGAGTTAATCTCATTTGATTTGTATTTTCCATTTTCAAATAAGATCAGCTCATTTTTGCATATACCTTTCAGTGTCTCCAGCAAAGGACCTCACAGTGGTCAATGTTACTCAGGAGTCTATGGACCTCTCTTGGGCCAATGACATGTTGGTGACAGAGTACCTTGTGGCATCCACCAGCTCTGGGGGCCTGTACCAGCAGTTCACCGTCCCTGGAGACCAAACGTCCGCCACAATCAAAGAATTGGAGCCGGGCGTCGAGTATCTCATTGATGTTTATGCTGTTTTAAGCAACAAAAAGAGTGTTCCAGTCAGTGCCAGGGCGGCGACTCGTATGTTCTCATGATCTGAATGATAACCAGTTGTGCAAAATGGTTTGTGGTAACTGCTTTGTTTTTCTGTTGGCCTTCAGTCCTGCCTCAACCAGAGGGTCTGAGATTCACATCAGTAAAAGAGACTTCAGTAGAAGTAACATGGGACAAGTTAGATCGCTCGTTTGATGGCTGGGAGATATATTTCCGCAACATGGTTAGTGAACACATGGTTAGTGGCATTACTTTAGTATGTTTGAGAAATGTTCACGTTTGCGTCTCTCATAATGTGGTATGTGTGAGATTTACATGTTTTATTTTTTCTTTTTTTTTTTACAGAAAGAGGAAAATGGAAAAATTGTGAATACTGTTCCACCTTCACAATTAGAGTTTGTCCAGTCAGGTCTTGGGCCAGGCCAGGAGTATGAAGTTTCCATTAACATAATTAAAAACAATACAAGAGGACCTCAGACTTCCAGACGGGTGACAACAAGTGAGTGATCATCTATACAATCTTTAAAACACGATGGATCTCTCTCGCCTCATAGTATACTTCATACTGAGGAGTTTAATGGATTTCCCCCTGCATTTGGCCTATAGCAGCAGAGCTTTAGCTTGCGAATACAAACGTTGATAGCTGTGGTCATTGTTGCTCTGGAGCAAGACATTTCACTCAAAGTTCTCTTGAATTAATCTGCTTGATTAAAGACTAAAATTTAGATAATTTTTTTTTATGTTGTTAAAGAATTTTTTTTTTGATTTAACTTGCTTCATATCCTCTTATTTATGTCTGACAGGGATCAAAGGTCCTCAGCAGCTCCAGGTGACGGATGTGACGGCGTACTCTGCTCTCATCAGCTGGTCTCAGCCTCTGCCTCCTGTAAACAGAGTCGTCATGTCCTATGCACCGACCTCCAACCTCTCAGACCAAATCAGTGCAGAGATCATCTCTCCAGATCATCAAAGCAGCATTGAAGCTCTAAAGCCAGACACTGAATACACAGTCTCTCTTGTGCACACGTCAGGAAACGGCAGCAGCGATCCTGTCACCACAACGTTCACTACAGGTACATTACACCAAACACGTCAGCCTGACTGTTGATGTAAAACCTCATTCCCTCATGAGTCTTCCATAGAAATGTTTGTAACGGTCTATGGTCTGAACAGCTCGAATACAAGTGTCGTATCTTAATGCTAACTAGTCCATTCTATTTATTAATAATTCTTTGCACACTGTAAACCTGCTGTTACTTTGCCTCTGCCTAAGGGCTATGGATGAAAATTAGCTTGTAGCTATGTCTGGTCTGAACAACACATTTATTGTCAAATGTCAAATAAACAAATGCAAATCAAATCAAATCAAATCAAAATACAAAAAAAACGTTGACTCAACTCTTTTATTATGATTTTTCAAAAAGGGTCAATGTTGTGAATTACTTGTGTTTTAGCTTTGGATGCTCCTAAAGATCTTCACGCCGTCTCACAGTCTGACAGTAGCATCACTGTGCAGTGGGTCAACAGTGAAGCCAATGTAGGAAGCTATCGGGTCAAGTACAGCCCCATCTCTGGAGCCGCACACGGAGAAGAGCTGTTTCCACAAGGCTCCGGTGACTTCACAACTGCTACAGTCACTGGTAAGATGACGCAATCACAGATTACATAAATCAATTAATCATAAACATAATTATGATATATGAAGTTGTATTTGTTTAGGATTGTTGCCAGGAACAGAGTATGGCATTGGAGTTACTGCAGTGAAGAATGAGAGGGAAAGCATCCCCGCTACCACAAATGCTGACACAGGTGAATACTGTAACTGCATCATCCATTTTAACTCTTTAGACAAACTTTTGGTGCTAATTTTAACCATTCATCAGACCTGGATCCTCCTACAAGCTTTGAGAAGGCCGAGTCCACAGACACGTCGCTCACGCTGCAGTGGCAGAAACCTCAGGCCAAAGTGACGGGATACAAGCTGCTGTATGTCTCTGATTACGGACAGTTTGACGAGTTTGATCTGCCTGCCGGAGCTACCGTCTTTGAGGTTCCAAATCTTTCTTCGGGAGTCACCTACACGTTCACTTTATCAGCAGAGAGAGGTCCCAAGAAGAGTGCACCCGCCACTCTGTCAGCGTCCATGGGTGAGTGATATGAGAGAGAGAAGCACAGCCAGCAAGATGTATCGGCGAATTAAAGTGATCATTCTTAACAGTTATGAATGCATTTGATGTTATATTTTTATTATTTTTAACTTGAACCTTCTTTTAATTTAGGGAAACATATATAAGCTCTCCAGACCGGTGGTTCCCAATCTTCTTTAATGAAGCCTTCAATTATTACTAATCAATATTTTTCAAACAAATCCAACAGCTTCAACTATTACGTTGTTAATGTTTCCATACCAATTTTGTAATATTTTATTGGGCATGGCGGCTGAGTGGTTAGCACTCTCGCTTCTAATCGGAAGGTTCCACCTCCGGACACAGCCTTTCTGAGTGGAGTTTGCAATTGCATGTTCTCCCCATGTCCACTAAAAACATGTGCAATTGCTCCCCTCTCTCTGGGGCCAGGAGATTCTGAAATCTCAGTGGGACTTTTCTGGTTGGATACACATTCGATGGCCCGATCCTTCTCTGACCACACAAACCCCCACCCCCCAGGTTGGGAACCACCCTAACCCTTCTCTTTACAGGACACACAGTATGCACCTTGCTCATTGTTTACTGATGCAACCAATGTATTATTTTTACAGATTTTTTTCCATAGCTGTGAATAACATGCACTTTAACATTTTAGTGCGCAGATCCACCTCTTCTGATGTACTTTCACTGACAATTAAAGATGCCCCCTCAACCCCACAGTCTGAACGTGATTCTGGAACAGTCCTGGCCTCAGACCCTAGTGTTCGGGACTCTACTGTTATGGGCTCTGGGGTGGAGCCAGACAACTATGTTATGGAGGATTTTATCTTTGCAAATATAACCAATACACAGTTTCACGAGGACACACTGCCAGGAGGAGTGACAAAAGACAAAAGTAACAAAACCAACAAGAATCCATTAAAGGGGGAGGTACAGGAGGAAAGTACTTTACTCCTTAAAGGTACATGGGATAGTATTACTATGGTTGACCATGGGTTGCACATCTATTCACTCTGATTCAGCTAATTATATATTGTTGCAAAGTTGACACGTTTTGTGTATTCACCAGAAGAACTGAACTCTTTGGCACTAAACCTCACCCTGTCAGACATTACGTGGGACAGCTTCACAGCGTCATGGGGTTCCATGGGGGAGGACTTTGACAGCTTTGTCTTAGAGGTAACCAACTTGGACAACATGGCAGAGAGTCAGAACCTCACTTTGTCTGGAGGTGCTTTCAGTCTGGTCTTATCTGGACTGACCCCCAACACCAGCTACATGGTTGGACTGTATGGGCTGTATCAGGGTGCTTTCATTGAACCTACGTACTCTGAGGCCACTACAGGTACATGCAGCAAGAATCACATACTGCATGCATCACTACTTTTCACTCTTTATTTCTCCATTACTTTTGAGTATGTTGTGTTTGCATCACTCTGACTCTGGGCGTATGCTGTATTAACACTTCTGCATGCAACAAGGCCACATGAGACTCATTTTAACATTAGGTCACTCATACCCTCCAGTCACTGTTTCCGTCTGAGAGAGGACCTTCCACCCTGAGCAATGAGCTGCCGTGTCAGTTTCCTTGGTCATTGCTTCCATTCACCTGCACCTATGATCTCAGGTCACAAATGCATGGTCTCCCGTCTTCTACATCCCATTCAGTCACGTGTATGACTATCATGCTGCATTGATTGCAAAACCAAACCAATAACTATTCCCCTCATTCAGTGTAGTTTTGTGACTGACATTTCTTTCCATCAAGATTCTTCCATAAGCCAAACGATTAACCTTGGGAAATGATTTTCCTGGAACAGTGCCATAGTAACATTACATCTGTATTAAGGCTATGAATATATTCATAGTGTTAACGCAGGCTTCTGATTCTGTGACACGTTTTCATTCTCTTTCTTCAACTCTGCATGTAGTGTGCCGTTTGCATATTGCAAACTAGATATAAAATATATTTCAGTAATATGAGAAATATATGATGAATGAAGCCAATATCACAGTAATTTCAAATTTATAATGTTGTCTGTTTCTCTAGTGAGTGAACCTGTGGTCGGCAATCTGTATGTGTCTAACGTAACGTCAGAAAGCTTTACAATTCACTGGAATAGCACAGAAGGAGCGGTGGATGGTTTCACACTGGAGATTATTGATTCTGAGTGGTTAACAGAGCCTCAAGAATATAACCTGTCCCGAAATGTACTATCCCATGACATCACAAGGCTCAGGCCGAGCACTGACTATATAGCCTACCTCTACGGGACACACAAGGGCTCTCGAACCACTGCCATCAGCATTGTGGCATCCACAGGTATTGTTATACTCATCCATCTGAATATATTATATTATTATCACTGATGTGCATAGTGGAGGGGCACAACCAGAAGGAAATCAGAAAAAATATAGCCTTGCAAAAGTATAAATACAGATTAAACTTTAGTAATGTTTACACTAATAAAAAAGACTTGAAAAAGGCTGCTCACAAACACTCCCCGTCTAATTTGACAGAGCTCGAGTTGTTTGGTAAAGAGGAGTAAGCTCAATTTTGTCTCTAGATGTGCAAATCTCTGTCTGGAGCAACAGTGGCTCAGTTGGTAGAGCATTATTGGCCTTAGAGCCTGAAGATCGTGGGTTCGAGCCCACCACAAGACCTACTTCTCGACTCCCACTGATGTCTGCTGTCGTTGTGTCATTGGGCAAGACACTTAACCCAACTTTGCCTGAAGCCCCTGCTGAATAATCAAGGCTCCTGTGGACTCACCACCTGGTGCTCTGTGTACTGGGTGCAGCTCTGACTGCCACCACCCTGACCCAGAAATAGATTTGGGGAAGAAAATGGATGGATGGATCTGCAAATCTTGTAGAGTCATACCCGAAAAAACTTGCTGCTGTTATTGTAGCAAAAAGGAGTTCCACAAATCCTTTTGATCTCACTTCACAGTTGTCTGTTAATTGTCTGTGAACTTTCAGTAAACAATTTAATTTATAATCTTCATGTTATGGTTGTAAACATAACAACATGTGCAAAAGTTCAATCTGTATTTCTAATTTCGCAAGGCACAGTATTTCCAAAAGAAGATTTGATTAAAACCACCAACATTCTGCATTTTATTATTAACAATTATGACACAAGAGCTCAAAAGCATTTACTGTATGTACCTTTATCAAATGCTATAATCATTTGGTTTAACATTACTTTAGTTAGTACAAAATGACTGTGACCTTTTTTCACACATTTCCGTGAAGGTCTTTCATGGAAATGTGAAAGACAATATTCAATTGAACAATAATGAACCATATTAACATGTCTTTATCTCTTTTATTGAAGCGGTGGAGCCTGAGTTGTCCAAACTTGTTGTCAGTAACATTACCTCAGACCGCTTCACTCTCTCGTGGCGGACGCGGGACAGGTCCTTTGATAACTTTATTGTTGAAGTCAGGGAGTCAGAATTTCTTTCTCAGGCAATGGGACGTGTTGTGCCTGGAGACATTTATTCCACCGTCATGACCGGCCTCAAACCAAGTACAAGCTACAATATAAAACTAAAAACCAGCAGCACAGAGCAGCCTCCTCAGCCTCTTTATGCTGTTGCTATCACAGGTATTATTTATGCTCCATAACGTGATTCAGAGGAGGCAGATGGGAATAGTAATAATTGTGTTTTTGTTCAGAGGGCATCCCACAGTTGGGAGCCATAGCTGCTTCTTCAGAGAGCCCACACAACCTCAGCTTGTCCTGGAATATACTTTCAGGCCATTTTGACAGCTTTATCCTCAGAGTGAGTGACTCTGAGCAGCACTCTGACCCACTGGAGTTTACTCTGCCTGGAGACGCTCGAAACATTACCCTGTCTAAGCTGATGGATGCTACTGACTATGATATTGAACTGTACGGTATTTCACATGGGCGCCATACTAAGTCTGTGTTAGCACAGGCCACAACAGGTACTATCTGTTTTATAGAAATAAAAAGTTATTCATTTTAATATGTTTTAAGATCAGTAATTCGTTTGACTTCTTTCCCATTGGCACATTTGGATTTGCTTTTGCAACCATTGCTCTCATCAGTTGCTAATGTCTTTTTTTTGCTCTCCCCTTTATTTCTATTTTGTATTCTTGGGGCCCCAATCACTTAAGCCTCTTTACCAAAAGTGGAAAACTTGACCATTTCCAATATAACCCCTTATGGGTTCCGTGTGTCGTGGGAGCAGCAGCAAGACAGTGTTGGCTTCAGCCACTTTAACGTAGTAGTGACAGACTCGGGCTGGCTGCTGGAGCCTCAGGAGTTCATGGTCCCAGGCGACCGCAGTCACCTGGACGTCTCTGGCCTCATCACGGGGATAGGATACGAGGTGCGGCTGACGGGAGTGTCGGCCTCAGGGCTCCTCTCTCGACCTCTCACTGCAGTGGCTGCGACAGGTATGAGGGCGATTGCAGCCAGTATGTGTCCGCCTGAGAAAGCTGAAGTTTCATCATCATTTTTAGTGTTTCCATTTACAGATAATCCAACATGTCATTCTGATTTGGCTCAAATGCTATTTCAGGAGCATGTTTGTATAAGGTGATGGTGCAGCTTTGGTATAACTTCAACCTTACACTAATCTCCAATGTTCCTATTTTAACAAAGTATTAACCCTTTTTGTATATTTTCTTTCTGTTGTTTAACTTTGTTTAACACAAATCACTTTCAGTCTTTTGCTTGAAGCATGAGAGTTTCAATTAATATTTTCTTGATTGTTTTCCTTAACTGGAAACTACTTGACAATGTTTTATTTGTTGTGCCTTACCTAACCATGCATGTGTCTTTTTATCTTGAGTGCGGTTGCCTGAAGACAATCAACTGAACTATTTGTCTAATAATTTGGTTTTTTTGACCACAATGTTTTATTCCAACAATGTTTCTTTTTTGAGCAGAGGCGGAGCCTGAAGTGGAGCATCTATTTGTTTCAGAAGTCACAACAAACGGTTTCCGTCTGTCTTGGACAGCAGACGAGGACTTGTTTGATATATTTCTCATCAAGCTCAGAGACAGTAAAAGAGTAGCACACCCACAGGAGTACACTGTTCACGGTGATGAGCGAACCCTTGTGTTAAAGGGACTGATGGGTGGCACTGAGTATGAAATTGAACTGTATGGATTCAAGATGGGCTGGCGATCTCAGGGTATTACTGGCATTGCCCAAACAGGTATATTACTTCACAGTCCAATCTCTTACAGCAATCTAACAATGCTTTCTTTCTGACCTTTTCTACGAACCACACTAATAACTTTTCCCCTCTGCTTAGGCTTCATCTACGCATTTCCAATAATCATGTTTATTTTCACTATATAACAGTGATTACTGTATTTGTGTTGTTGACAGGTCTGGGAACTCCGCAGGGGCTTCATTTCTCTGAAGTGACGGACTCTTCTGCTGTGGTTCACTGGGCCCAACCTCAGTCTCCAGTGGATACTTACCACATCACCTATCAGCCGTTCGAAGGAGGTGCTCATCAGTTTTAAAACATTAGAGTTCGTTTCTTAGACTATCTTTTCATCTTATTTGTGTAACGTTTCCCGCAGGAAGTCCACTGCTGCTAACTGTAGACGGCAGTGTGTTCGAGGCTTTACTGCCCAATCTGACTCCTGGTAAAATCTACCAAGTCACTGTGAATGCTGTGAAGGGCCTGGAGGAGAGCGACTCCAGCTCGGACATTGTGACCACTGGTTTGTGCCATTTTTAATTCCGTGTTGCTTGACTGGTGTGTGGTGAGTTTATTCCATGTTGTTTATCACAGCGTTGGACAGACCTGGCCACCTGACTGCAGTAAATGTGACTGATGTGTCTGCTACACTGCTGTGGCAGCCTTCTGTGGCCACTTTGGCTGAATATGTGATCACTTACCGGAGTGATACAGGTACTTTCTAATGACTCTTTGTAGGTAAAACATATTATTAAAACCCTATAACTGTTGTCATGTTGTGTCGATAAACAGCTCCCCCGGTGGTGATGAATGTGACTGGCAACACAGTTGAGTTGGAGCTGGCGCCTCTGGCTCCAGCCACACACTACACTGTGACACTACATGCTGTCAGAGAAGATCAGAAAAGTGACCCTGCTGTCACAGAATTCACCACTGGTAGGTTTACAGCAGGTTCACTCAATAGTTCACTACTATAGTACGCTGAACGTGTGTATATGGTTTATTCGTATGAATACAGTGTGGTGTTATGGTTTCAGACGTAGACCCTCCTCAGAACTTGACTTCTGTGAATGTCCAGACGAACAGTGCAACACTGACCTGGGGCCATCCCCAGGCTGCAGTCACAGGCTACACTCTGACCTTCTCTGCTGCTGATGCCTCCATCAGGGTGAGTATGTCTGTCACTAGTCTCACTGATGAGTGGAGTGTGTGATGCTGTGTGTTTATGAGTTCAGGAGGTCGTGCTGAGCCCCACTGCCACATCCTACACTATGGAAGAGCTCACAGGCAACACTGAGTATACTGTCCAACTGCTGGCCATCGCTGGGACGCAGAAGAGTCGAGCTGTAAGCGCCAATTTCACCACAGGTAAAAGGCACACAGCACTCACCATTACTGTGGAAACTAGACGTTTACATGCCCCCAGGCATGACCTCGATAATAATACATTGTATACCTTTAGCACTTCAGCCATGATATATATGCATCTAAAGCTCATATGTTTTGTGACTTTAGCTGGACAGCTGGACAAATACCCAAAGGACTGTGCTCAGATATTCCTGAGTGGAGAGACAGCCTCTGGTCTATACACCATCTATGTGGCCGGGGAGGAGAGCCAGCCTCTTCAGGTCTACTGCGACATGACCACTGATGGAGGCGGATGGATGGTGAGTCAAATGTTTCTGAATAATTGAACTTGAAATCTGTTGTATGTCATATTACTTAACATTCCAATGACTTTGGTTAAGGTTTTCCTGAGACGTCAAAATGGAAAATTGGAGTTCTTTAGAAACTGGAAGAATTACACTGCAGGCTTCGGAAACATGAACAATGAGTTTTGGCTCGGTGCGAACGTCTTTCAAACTCGCCTTATCCTCACGTCACACATTCTCACATAAATGAATCAAATCTTCTTTATAGGGCTTTCCAACTTACATAAAATCACATCCTCTGGACATTATGAGCTCCGTGTGGATTTGAGAGACAGTGGGGAGTCCGCTTATGCAGAGTACGACAAGTTCACCATCGCAGAGCCACGAACGAGATACAAGATCTACGTCGGAGCGTACAGTGGGACAGCAGGTATGTCAACGGTTTTATGAATGAAATGTATTGTTATGTATTATATTTGAATCAGATGTATTAACAAATGTGTTGTGACCAGGTGACTCCATGGTATACCATCAAGGGCGACCTTTTTCTACTTATGACAACGATAACGACATCGCTGTCACCAACTGCGCCCTGTCCTATAAGGGCGCTTTCTGGTATAAAAACTGTCATCGCGTCAACCTCATGGGAAAGTATGGCGACGGCACTCACAGCAAGGCAAGTACAATGTGCTTACAGGGGTTTGTGTTGTGTGTTTTACCAGCACAGTGGTTAGTACTATATACATAAACATTACAGAACTCTGAACATTGTAAAGTGCTTTGGATGACCTTGGTCTGTAAAAATGCGCTATATAAATAAAGATTACTTACTTACCCACCTAAATTCCTACCTACCTACTCACTTACCTACCTACCAACCAACCAACCTACCTTCCTACAGTATTTACTTACTTACTTACCAAACTAACTTACTTACTTACTAACTGACATACTTGCTTGCTTGCTTACTAACTGACTGACTGACTAACTTACTAACTAACTTTCTTACTTACTTGTGTCTCATAGAATCAGAATTATCTTTTATTGCCATTTTATGTAACAGGACAAGTGCATTGACAAAGTGCAAAGAACTTATAAAAATAGGCATGCATGATCCAAATGAAGTACTCTATGTGCACAAAGTACACACAATAGACTATTAGATATTAAGATAGTCCAAACAGGGCCTTTATATGTGGAATTTGAATGTTCTCCATTTCTGTCGAGGTTTCCCCCTGGTGCTCCAGTTTTCTCCAGGTGCTCCGGTTTCCCCTGGCACTAAAAACATGTACACTCGGTCTGAATGTGGTGAGGGAGTGACCGAATGATGATGCTGAGAGATTTTGAGTATTTGTCGTCACCGTGTGTGGAGAGAATGCAAAAATACATAGTTAAACTCTTTGTGTGACCTTGGTCTGTGAAATGCGCTATCTAAATAAAGATTATACCTACTTACCTACTTACTTGCCCTGACATGACTTATCGCTTTCTTTTTGACAGGGTATAAACTGGTTCCACTGGAAAGGCCATGAACACTCAATTGAATTTTCTGAGATGAAAATCAGACCAGCCACCTTCAGAAGCGTCGTACCCCGAAAGAAACGGTCTTAAATCAAGAAGTGGGAAAAGGTTTTGTCGCAGTAAAACTTCACAGTATTTAACTCATCTACAAAAATGCGGATGTGACTGTATAGTAGTATTCTTAAGTTATGTTTGTGAATTTATGTTTGCTACTATTGACCACCCACTTGTCCTAATGTCAAAAGGCACATGATACTTTTTCACCGTCTCAAAGCTTGTCCAGGGTTTGTTTCTCCTAAAAACACAAATAAAATGGGTTTAAAATACATACAATACTTGATAATGGAATTTTACAACTCAGTTCAGTTCAGTTTATCAAATTATTTCAGACATTTTTGACCATTCAAAAACACTTTCAGGCATTTGAAAAAAAAGAGGTCAAAATAAGGTCTGAAAAGGGAATAGGCAGAAGCTTATAGGCGCCTGCCCTTTAATACACATTAAACTTGAATAGCTGCTGCTACACACAAATCAAAAATAAGACATTATGATTATTTTCTGCTCAGCTTTCACAAACTCAGACAATAGTGTTAATTAATTATTGTAAATTCAAATACATTTCACTTGGTCTATGAAGAGTTTCTCACACTTGTCATTTCTTGTCATTTATTCCTGACTTTTTTGGCGTTAATAGATTAAGATGAAGAGATCCTTTATTCGTCCCACAATGAGGACATTTCAGTGTTGTATAGCCAGTTACAGAACAGTAGAAATGAGGAGCACACGACACAAGATAATTTAACTATTAATACAATTTCTAACTTTAGCATGATAATTCTAAGCATTCCAAACAACCATATCAATTACTTTACACCTGGTTAAAGCTGGAGTACCTAACTTTGAAATCACTAAAAAACGATGTAATTAAAAAAACATGCAGCTACAGTATTTGCTGGAATATTAAGCGAGCCTGTTTATAAACCGGAGCATCTACATTTGAAGAGAAAGTACATTATGTCCACATATAAGCCGCACTTGAATATAAGCAACAAGCAGCTGATGGAGCAGCTGATTGTTTTAACTGTACACAACATGATTTAATGACGAGGAGTTTTAACGCACTGTAGACTTTTGATGACTAAAGCACACATCCTTCCCATCCTCAGGATAATGTAACAAGATTTATTTTAAAACAATTTAAATCCCAGTGGACACTCCATTACAAACCCAAATGTAGCTCGTACGAGGATAAGGAAATCCCCATAAACCAGGTATAAATGGTGAAGGATATAGCCTTCTTATTATAGGCAGAAAGGGCAAAAGTATTTACAAAACTTAAAGGTACATAACAAAATAAAAGTATTTACATTGGCTGCAAAGTAGTGGCTTATAGCCCAGCAAGTACCGTAGTTCCTTTTCCTCAAAACCATTCTATCACTGGTTTTCACATGCATGTATTTTTAGTGTCTGTCACATCTTTAGATCAACTTTTTCTGTAAAAAAAAAACAAAAGGGAACCAGCCTTCACTTCTGCAAAACCACTCTCAGTATGTAATTCATACAAATGTTTTATAATAGAAAAGTTAAGAATTAAAGTATTTCATTTGCTGTACATAAATGATCTTCCCAAAACATTGTTTTTGTATTCTGTAATTTATACTCATGCAAGGAGCAGCTTCCAGTCTTACTTGATGGAGTATGTAAATGACTGGCTTTTCTAATCTTGTTTGCTTCCAAATTCCAAAAAATATGTTTGATTTGATGTGGCAGTTATGGAAAATTCTTGAAAGGTAGAAATACTACAACATCTTTCCAATTCTGTTAAATTTACCCTAGAAATTTGAAAGAAATCAGGCCTTTTTTAACACTTGAATGTGTCTCCATTCAATGGACTCAGAACTGCATATACTGTTCTGTATATAGATGCTAGGTGTCTTCTCAGGAGATACCTTTTGCACATAAATAGGCCCCAATTGATTGTGGTCCAGTATGATATAACAGCTCTTGTACAGCAGAGGGCGCCATTTGTTAGTAGTTTGATAAGAAGTTGCTGCTGAATAACCCAGTCATATGACATGTTATCCAAGTAACTTATATTTACTTTTCCATGGTGTTTCTAAATTGGAATGAGCTTCACTTGTCATTTTTTATTATTATGTGGGATATGTCTGTGTTTAATGAATGAATGTTTATCAAAGGACAAATATAGATTGGGTTTGTGTACATCTATTCAGGGCCCTGTCGAGGAGTAACTTTATCAGCTTGATCAGGAGTGGCGCACACTTTGAACGTCCCATCCATTGGTCCATTTGTCATTTTTATTTCTATATGACTGAGAGGAACGCAGGCGAACATTAGGCGCATACAGACTGAGAGCTGAGAGTTTTTTCCACACTGACTTCTGAAACAAACCTTGACCTGGATATTGATTTCCTCCGTTCTAATTTCAAAATCTCACTCGAGTTTCAAAAGTGGAGCATGAGGTGAACCTGTTTGATAAATATGGATTGCGTTGAAAGTCATTATAGAGCGAGGAATTATCAGGAGGATAAGCATTCAATGGAAGAAAGTTTCTAAGGAAATTAAAGTAGTGGTAATCATTTTATTTCAAATGTATGCACAATGAAACTAAAGGTAATACAAGATACAAAAGAGAAAAAAAAACGTTTTAAAAAGCGGTTGGATGTAGAAAATGCTAACCCCTCTCTCAATCAACACAACACCACACACATGACAAGACACAGGCCGAACCACTCTCTGACCACACACCCCTCCCATACAACACTCACACACATGACAAGACACAGGCCCAAAGACTCTCTGACCATACAAGACACACACATAAGACACAGGCCGAACCACTCTCTGACCACACACCCCTCCCATACAACACGCACACATGACAAGACACAGGCCCAATCACTCTCTGACCATACAACTCTCTCCCATACGATACACACACATAAGACACAGCCCGAAACACACTCTGACCATACACCCCTCCCATACAACACACACATGACAAGACACAGCCCGAAACACTCACTGACCATACACCTCTCCCACGCAACACAAGCCCACACACTCTCTGACCATACAGCACACACGCATAAGACACAGCCCGAAACACACTCTGACCATACACCTCTCCCCACACAACACAAGCCGACACACGACATACACACAACAAGACACAGGCCCACACACTCTCTGACCATACACCTCTTTCTCACCACTCGCTCATAGCAAGTCATACTGTAGCTTATAAAATTGTTACAGGTTTTAACATGTTTTTCTTGAATATATCAAATTGTTCCAAATAGTAACTCCTCGCACAAAGACACACATTTATTTTAGAATCATTCTCGCGACATTATTTTGGCTACGAACCACCTTCTTGTCACTATGGAGATGAGCGGAATAGTTATGCTTATAAAACATTGCATTCATTCAAGCGCAATCACAACAGCAGGCCTTTACAAAGTTGTCGATTCCACAACAAAAGATCCGCTCCAACACAGAAATGCAATAATAAACAAACACATAGAAGACATAGGGAGCGGGAATCGGGATGACCACTGTCCATAAATGTTAATAAATGTTCTTAAAGAAATGTGTCTCGATCGATCCACTGCAATCTTACTGCAACTTAACCAGAGACTTGATCTATAACTTCTGAAACAGCAGCCAACATTCAGGAGAAGGAGTGAACCAGCAGCACTAGCCAACACTTCTCAGAAAGGTCCAAGTCCCGTTGCGGCACATCGTGGTCCTCCCACTGTTTACACAAGTTATATCACTATTTGTTCAATGAGCTCTTCGTGCAACAGCCAATATACAAGCAACTCTCTGGCCCTGTGTCTTCTTTGTGTGTCTTTTGTTTTGTGTAATGTATCCTCGTGTGTGTCTAAGTCAATGTGGTGATAAAATATGAGGTCATAAATTTAGATTAAGAGATTGTATTTGTCCCACAGTGGGGAATTTCAGTTTGCATCACCGGTTACAGAACAGAAGGAATGAGGAGAACACAATACAAGATAAATTAATAATAACTCAAATACTAAATGAAAAACTAAACTCTAGCATAGGGTTAAATAAACAAGTATAAATCTCTATCTTTAGCATAATGAGTACAACAACTCTTGACTTTAGCATAACAAAGAAGTATAAAATCTCTACTTTTGGCATAATAAGAAGCAAGTATAAAGTACTGTGTATTTTAGTGCAAGTAATATATAGTTGTATGTTTACATCGGTACATGTTTGCAGCAGCGGGTCTGGGACAAATGCTTAAATCAAGTGGTTTTTCTCTTAATTTGAGCACATTCTGACTGTCTTAAAACAGGATTTGCCAATGGGACAAAGCCATTCAGTCTTAATCCAATAACAGTAGCATTTTTTTCTAATCTCAAGGAAGATATTTCTTGTATCGTTTTAAAACAAGATCATTTTGCCATGTCCCATTGGCAAATCTTGTTTTAAGGGAGTCATTTTGGCCAATTTTAAGCTACTCCTGACTTATTTGCCCTTATTTTGCACCATGTGACCTATACTGTTTGCAGTGTATAGCCCACATATGAAGCAATGCACAGGTTTCAAAATTAAAAAGTGATTATTTCAAGTTGAGCAGAAATGTATAACCTGTTGGTGTTAGTTATGCCGTGTAGCCTGCAGATGCATGAGGAGGTGTCATTCATCATGCATTTCAAGGAAACCATTTTCCCAGGAGTCTGTACTAAATTTAAGTGAACTGTGTGAACATGTATCTGTAAATCATGTCGAGCCCCGTTTAGGCACTCAGCGCTTTCTACAATTCAACATAGTGACAAATGGAAATTCCTATTTTGGATATAGTTCAAATGGTTTTTATATAACCATTGCCACATTTAATTTCTAAATATTGTATAGTAACTTCTGCTTTCTCACTTGTCCCTCTGTCTAGTGGTTAAATGTCAAAGGACAGAATGGGGGAGAGACAATATATCTGGATTGTTTTAGCTTAAACTTTAGTTCGGGGGTGTCATACATATTTTAGTATTTTGTTTGACATGAGTTTGGATTCAATCACAACTGGGACAAATATTTTACTG